ATACAAGTATAGCCTCCATTATATGAATAAATTCTTCTTTACGTAGTAGCCTAAAATGAGCTCAAAGTAAAATAGACGTCTTGGTGGTGCTCTGTATAGTGATATTTTGTTATTAGGGATCTAAGCACCAAGGCTATAAGTGAATTCATGATGCTAACTGTGAAATCTAAACTATCAGATTCAGCCATTTCAACTGAAATATGGAGGCTGTGATATTAATGTTGTCGCCTAGAGAAGGCAACTGGATATGAAATCTTGAAATCCTAATGTTTTTCTATCAGTTTCTATCCATTTGAATGGAAATAATTGCATTGATCTAATTAAGTTGTATAACTTTGGTGTACAGACAGTGCAGTTTTATATAATAATATATAGTGTACATAAAAATCTGTGAAATGCTTATAAATCGTTAAATGTTTTATAGACCCCAATGAAACCCCAACTTTTTCCAATTTGCCAGTCATTATTTAATATATTTCTGTAAAATGAAGAGACCATTTTTTTCCCCTTGCAAGATGTAAAAAAAGATAAATGCTTCAGATAAATAAGGTTTGGTGCTGCAAATGAGATCTTCACATTCATATGAAATTGTTCTGTGAGATTCTATGACAGGATTTATCATTTAAATGTTGAATATGAGCCACGACGACATATTATGATCACATGCCTTACAACATTTTTATAAAGTTTAATTTACTTGGGCCATTGGTGCTTGGACCCCAATGATTGCCACTTTTGTTTTTAATTATAGTATACATTTTATATAGATGATATAGTAGTCTATTAGGTATACTGTATAGGCTTGAATGCAGGGGTGGTGATGGCACAGTGGGTAAGACACTTTCCTTGGTTAAAATCTCAATTTTCTCACTATAAACAAATAGTTGGAAACATTGGGAATATTGTAAGTAATCAACTAAACAAAATATATAACATTGGCCTAGTGGTTTTTGGATATTTTACTGCAAAAATCCTATTATTAGGCTACCTTTAATAGGCTACTCGATCAAAAGAGTTAACAACTACAAGCTAATATACTTTGAATACTTAATTATACTTTTAAGTAGCCTATATCTCGATCAAAATATTGAGTACAAGTATAGGCCAAATATACTTGAATTTTTCCCCCAGAAAGTATTCTTGAGTGTAAATTTAGTTTCTGTGAAGTAGCCAACATAGGCTAAAGTATAATTTAGTATAATACATTTTAAGTATATAAAATGTAGACTGAAAGTATGCTTTCTTATTTTTAGTTGAAAAGATATAGCCTACTAATAAACTTATTTTTCGTTATTATCAATGTGTGCAAGATCAGGTTCAGTTCTATGCTTATTTTACTTATAAGCTATTCCACCCGAAAGCTTGTTACATAAACTTGACCATGTTAGTTTACAAGATGTAATATCATGTTTTAAAAAAATGTAATAAGCTACTCAATCAAAATAGTAAACACACGTAGTCTTCAGGTCAAGAACACGTATATGCTACTTCTATCCATATCTTTATCAGGCCAAATTAGACTGTCAGTATGTAGGCCTATACAGTTTACAGTATCAAGGATATTTTTGCAATTTGTAGTAGGCTATATTTCTGACTGAGAAGTAGCCTACATAAATTATATTTCTGAGAAGTAGGCTACATAAAAAGTAGTAGCCTATTTTTATTTTAAAAGAAGTAGCCTATACTAATTAGCACACTCGAATAAACTTTTTCGTAAGGGCAGGTCACAGCAGTGTGCTGGAATCACTATCGCAATCAGAGATCATGTTGTGCAGAAGTAGGAGGGATGCAGTTCATGGGGAAAAACGTGCCTGACGTGCATCTCTCCAAAAATGTAACAACGCGCCAATTCTACGCGTACCACAAGCGCTGTCATTGGTCTGCTAGCACCACTTCATGCTCCCCCTGCATGTGTAATTTCGCATCAACGCGGACAACAACCCAGAAGTATAAAATTAAAACCAACGCGTAGTAGAGGCTCCGCTGTAGATCCAACGCAGAAGTATAAATCAGCCTTAAGTTATGCAATTCGTTTTCTTAATTTTAATTTTGCATAGTTAACGGTGCTGCGTTTTCCTTTCGATTTCATATTTTGGTCAAAATGTGTGATAGTTAAAGTTCTTGTTCCACGATAATAATGATAATGATGAAAAGTTCAAAGCTACGGTGATTTTATTCTTAAAAAAAATATGGCATGCAATTAATGTTTTTAATTTTAGTGAGGTAATATTTGCAGAGTTGAAAAAGTACAACAGTTAACTATAATCGATGCATTGTTGGATATCAAATCTGTTTTTATACATATGCTGTATAAACTGTTCCCCCTCCTACTTTCCTGGTGTTAAAGATTGATAAGCAAAAGAATAATTGTGCCCTTATTTATTTTTTTTTTAAACTGTCAAAGCTCCACATTTCAAGAGTGAGAAACATACTGAACGTTGAAAGACCACATTATTAATCCATCTAAGCAATTTTAACAAAAGATTCCAGTACAATTATGAAAAACATGTTTATTGTAGAAAAGATAAATGAATACTTTGTAAATTATACTCACACATAGCTCTCTGCAATCAACCTTGTTGCTTAAAAACAACTCCTAATCTAAGCCTAATCATGCATTCTGTCAGTTTTTTTTTTCTTTGATCGAAACTAAAATACAACAAAATAATGCATTCAAATGCATCAATTATGACACTGAATTTTCGCGCAAAGTGCGTTAAAAAATGCATTCTATAAGTAACACATCTCTGAGTTTGAGGTGTCCCTTCTGAAATAACTGTCGTCGTTATATGAAAACAAACAGTCTGAAGAGCCGTAGGGCGCATACTCCGAAGTTGGCATGCCTTCATGCACATTGGACCATGTGCGACAAGCAAAAACAATGCTGAAGGTTGCAGTGCTGATAGTGGTAATTTTCTGGAGAGAAACTGGAGCTCAAATCCATTCGTGTCGGGGAGCTGTAACAAGAGGAAGATGAAGAGTGGGACTGAGGGGGAGAGTAACTGTTGTAGTCGACTGGACTGGGGAGATTGAAGGAGTCTGAGGATGACCTGGATACCTGAGGAAACATTGCAAAAGCACAAAACACGTATTAAAAATGCTGCACGCGTGATTTTATTAATTTGAGAAAACACAGAGGCCATATTTGACCATTAGAACTCTCCAAATGTTTAAATGAAAAAACATCAAACACGTACCAGGCTAGTACCATAGAGGTCCGTATTAGAAGGCATATATCCATTAGACCACTGCGCAGAAGTGGGACACACGAAATTACTGCCGCTGTAAGTCTCAGGTGGCATCGTGTGTATCATCTGTTGATGATCATAAGCATTATCCATCTGAATGTTGACATTTTCGGTAAAGGGACGTGTCTGGAAATAGGGCTCTGGAGCTTGCATTCCAGAGAAGACATCAAGGTGGGCTGTTGGGAACACAGAAGAAAATGCTGGCTTGAGCACAGGAGAACATTTAAATTAGGCCAGCAAGACTTGGGATGATGTCACGAGACCATCAGCCAACAGCTTCACATTTGAATAGTAGTTTATAAATGGGAGATCATTCCAGGATCTGTAAGGGACACCTATAGATGTGGGTGTCTTTGTTCTTTTATTTATTTATTTTATTTGTTCTCCCCTTAGAATAGATGTAGAGCTGATGCCTGACGGTGGATGAAAATGGTTTCTATTTTGGAGTATAGTAAGTTGCATGCAGTCAAGTACTCTGTTTTGTCTTGTTCTCAGGTTTCCTGATTAAAATTCAAGCTCTTACATGTAGTTTAGTAGGCAGAAGGTTTATTATCTTTTTTTGTTTGTTTTTACTGTCAGTTATCGACATATATTTTAAACTTACTATTCATGGTCGTAGAGCAGACATCGCGACCAGCCATGGCTTGTGATTTCTACAGGATGAAATGTAAGAGAGAGAAGTAGGATGAAACATTAACCTTTATGCTCGGTCAGTGGAAAACAGCAGAAATTTTGTAGTTCTGTTATGTGGTATCAACTGAATCTGTCTTCAAGCAGGCCTGTGGGGGCGTGGTGCTTTGAATTTGGTCTTGTACTGACCACGCTTCACTTTACTTTGGCTACCACAAGTCAATGGTGTTATGATTTTTATTGTGTTTCCAACAGTATTGTTTACCTTTGTGGGTTGTGCGGTTTTCTGTGCCTGCAGGGCTCTGTGCTTCTGCAGTAACTCCTTGACAGTGGTCTTCACACGCACACCCTGGTAAATCTTGGGTTTATCTGCAGAAAAAACAATACATTTTCATTTCATTTTATTTTGATTCACCACTGACGAATGCATTTATTTTAAATTATTCTTACATGTTCTGTAAATGTGAATGTTCTGTGCAGAAAAAAAATTTAACAAAACATTTTTTATTTGCCTAAATAAAAATCCTAACGAATGTATAGCCTACATGAATCCCTGTTTAAGACAACGGATCTACGTTGTTAAAAAGTGCACACATATTTGTGAGGGGGCCTCAAATATGTAGGATTATGTTTGTTTGATTTTATATATGCATTTCGTGTGTGTGTGTGTGTGTGTGTATCAGTGTGGCTTATCCAATAAGCAATATAAGAATTTAACTGTGTTACCTTGAAAAATGTGTTTTTGACTTGGTTGTCAAAATAATGAAGTTGCAAGGAATGCATTTGACCACTTTTCACTCTTGAATGCATAACCGTAAACATTATTGGAATCAGAAGGTTCTTTACAGTGATAAAGATTCTTTAGATTATTAAAACATTCTTCACACACACTGATAGAAAAAAGGTTATTTTAAGAACAAATCACTGAAAGGTTTTAGAGAACGGATATTTGTTTTTGGAAGTCATTAAATCGAAATATTTGTATAAAATGTTATGCATGTTTTTTTGTTTTGTTTTTTCAAAAATGATCGAAACAACAGGAATACAAAGATTAGGTTTCTTGGACAACCATATAGTCTATAACAAGATTTTTGAAAGATTTCTTGGACATCCTTATTTGTCAACCACCTTTGCATTTTCTCCATTTGCCAGTAGAAAATAAGATAGGCTATAGCCTGAGTAAATATAGAAATACAAGATAATATCCCTCAAGATAAAAACAACAATGCTCTTCTTCTCAGTTAACGCAGTGGTCTGAGTGCATTGGTGATCCGGCAATGAATGGGTTAGTTTTCGCATTACAATAGACAGTAGTGAATTTCGAGAAACATGCTCTCCAGCCATCTTTGGCACGGGGCGACAGCATTAAATTGTAGTTCAGACGGTTTAATTTCATGTAGCTGTAAATTAAAACCCGACTAAAGTGGCGATGAGCCTAATCTAATTATTGAGCGTTTCTCTCGAGAGCAGAAGCGCTCCAAGTTGCGGAAGCGAAGTGAAAGCGCTTCAAAACACTACATGCAGGAAAGGAGACAGAGAAGCTTCCTCGGTCGACGCCACTACAAGTTACAGACGTAAGTAAAATACTCATAGTAACCTATGGCTAATAGCAAAAGCCGCGTGCAAGCGGACAGAGAAAATAAATCGGGGGAATAGACCAGATGTTAAAGTCATTATCCAACAGAAACCCCGATTAGATTTGTTGCAAAAAATCCCGATTTCTTTACTAACGCTCTGTCGATTTAGCGACAATCTGTTGTTTTAAATGTCCTAAAAACGTCGCTGCGTCCAAGTTGGATTTTGCGTTCCGCTCGCCAAAATTAGGTTATTTCTTGATAAAGTTAAAAGGAAGTTTTATATCTAATTTTTTAATTGGTTGTTCAGGCTTGTGAATACATATACAGTGGGACGTCTTTCTGATCCGTGTTAATATAGCTATATAAAATTCTGTCGGAACATTTGTGATTCCAAACAACGCCACGCCATGGTTGAGTTCATGGAGGCAGTTGCAACACGAGGGCAAAAAAAGTGCGCTGATGTTAATAAGAGAGTAAAAACGTCCTTCGGCAGTGTGTTGATGCACTCGTTGACAGTTAAACCTATCTAATAAATATTCATATAAGCTCTGAAGCAAGGCATGAATTCTGGTAAAAATGTTCAAATTATATCCAGTCATCGTTTACTGTTGGTTATTCCTAAAAGCATTGCAATCAATTGGACACGCTGGTCGACAACGTAAAGTCTAAAAAGACATGGCAAATAAATCTTCAGGTCATTTTTGCTTGAAGAAAAAGCTGAGTAAAAATACAACCAGAAAGAAAATTCAAGCTATCAGTGAAGCTCGAGCTTTAGCCTAATGAATATAGAGATGTTGTTCCCTCAAACTGCAAGTAATTGCATGTATAGCCCAATTAATATAAAATATATAAAATACATATACATATAAAATTCACCAATTTGTTTGAATTGAATCCTTCACATGTGTTTGCTGTTTTAAGATATTAGTAAGGCTGCATCCTTTGAACTACACATTTCCAAGCAAAGTTTACCAATGTATTAAATGATTTTAATTAACATATTTTTTTTTCTCAATGTTTTTCAGGTTGCTGAAGACAAAACATCTTAAACGAAAGAAAAAAAGAAAATTGACTTACCAGACATTTTGGCCTGAAAAGGAGGAAAACTCTGGAAGAACTACAGTGAAATACCCCAACGTCACTTCTTTGCTCTATTATATGGGCAAGAACGAATTATTCACAAAAGTATTAAAAAGTCTCAACAAAGTAACCTCAAAACACTCTCAGGACATACAATTATACAGTAATATAGCTAGGGATATTTTAGTTTGAGTTTTTCTCCCCTCATCCCTACTATTTAAAACCCAAAGAACTCAATGATTTGACAATGATTTGATTGCGCGATACTTTCAATTTGAATATTCAAAGGCTTCGTAAAAAGACTTATTTCTGACTGATATTCACTATTATAATGCATATATTAGCACCTCTTTTAATAGAATGTTGTGTTATTTCACATCTTGTCATCAAGCAAATATATATTTTTTATCATTTTATCATCCTTTTGGTGTTGGTGGATGGAGTCTCCCGTAGAAGCACTATTTCAACTTTGCAGGGAGACTCAAGGCACAAATCAAGCTTTATATTCCATTACACGTTGCAAATATCTTTTCTAATAGGTAGTATTGAAAAAAAAAATTATTATTGTGATGTGTAGATCTCATTTGTGCAGTATTTTAAGAATTATTGTAAGAATTATTGTAAATGTAAGTACACATTGATGGCCTAAGACCCAAAACGAGCTGTTTGTGTGAGAAAACGAACAATATCGTTTTTACCTTGTGTAATCCAAGTGATCTGAATCAGTTGTTCAATGTCCAACTGAACCGAACTGAATCAGTTCAATCTTACGCCAGAAGTGATCGCTTGCGTGTGACGTCACTCAATATTTACACTGAGATTTCTGAAGTTTTACCTTTTACTAAACATATTTAGATATACCGAAATCGTCTTTCATTGCGGTTTCCCGTATATCTAAATATGTTTAGTGAAAGGTAAAATTTCCGAAATGTCTGTATGAACAAAGAGTGATGTCGGTGCGCAAGCGATCACTTCTGGCGCACGCGCAGACTGAAGCACCCGTGCCGTCAGATCATTTTGTCATGGCTACGATTACAAGAGGTAAAAACGATATAAATACTGTTCGTTTTCTCACACAAACCGCTCGTTTCGTGTCTTAGGCCATCAGTGTGTACTTACATTTACGAGTCATTAAGTCATGTTTAATTTGGACTTCTCTGTGCATGCTCTTTGAGGTGAACCGATTGAGGACCCCCTTCACCTCCAGTGTATGACTGACAGACAACAACCGTTTGACAAAAAAATGTAAAAATTGAAAATGCTGTGGAAACAAATGCACCTACATCTTGGATGCTCTTGAGGTAAGCTAAAACATATCAAAAATTAATTTCAAAGTGAACTATCCCTTTAAATGGATAGTTCACCCAGAAATGGGAAGTCATTCACCATTTCCTCACCCCCATGTTGTTCCAAACCTCTATGAGTTTCTTTCTTCTGCTGAACTTAGAAGATATTTTGAAGAATGTTGGTAATCAAACAGTTGGTGGTAGCCATTTACTTTCAATTGTCTGGTTACCAAAATTCTTTAAAATATCATCTTTTGTGTTCAACAAAGAAAGAAACTCGTACTGATTTGGAACAACTTGAGTGTGAGTAAATGATGACAGAATTTTCATTTTTTGATGAACTATCCCTTTAACTTTTATTGAACCCAGTATCTTGGTGTTAAGCCTTATTTGTAGTTATTTTGTGACTGATTTTGAAAAGATTTTCTGTACTTGAAAAAGTAAAATTGTTGTTACCAGTCTTGTAGTAATTTGCGGATTATTTTAATAAATATTTTTCCTACAACAGCTTTGACTTTGTGTTTGTTTTTTTAAATGTTTATTTTAATGCATCTACATCAGTATAATGGTAAATAATGGAGTACAGTTTGCTGTTAAAATGATTCTTTTCAGCTTTTTAAATGTTAAACTATTACAGCATCTACTTGAATTTTGGTGGTATATACAGGATTTTATTGGCAACTTTATTGCCAGGTAAATACTGTACTTTAGTGAAATTACAAAATATTGCTGTAAAATAAAATACAGGTTTAATTCAATGTTACTGTAAAAAACCCTATAAGTTACTGTATTTCATATACAACAATTAACTGTAAATTGCTTTACAGTATTACACTGTAATCAAATTTACAGCAATTTCCAACATTTTTACAGGATTTTATTGGGAACTTTTTTGCCAGTAAATTCCTGTAAATTCTACAGGAAATTTTTTACAGTGTAATTAAAACGAAAAAGCTTCAAGTGGAATATTCTTCGAGACCGTAATGCAGTTGTTTATTTACGCGTGTGATATTTAATGGTCGTGTGTTTAAGAAGACTGGAAACAGGCGGAATGGATGACATCAGGTGCTCTTTGTCTAAGGCCCCATCCACACTACTGCGTTTTCGTTTAAAAACGGAGAATTAAAACGAATACGATCTCCGTCCACACCAGCGTTTTATCTGCGTATTAGAAACAATCTCCGTCCACATTAAAACGACTGAAACCGCGGATCACGTGACCATTCACCAACACTGGGCATGCGCGTGCCGGTGTAAACAGTGAATGACGAATCAGGGAAGGAAACGTCATGACTGATAACACCCAATCATAGAGCCAAGCGGCAGCCTCTGCGTCAGCGTTTCTGAAGTTCTCCGTTTTGTCTCGTCCACACTAAAACGCCCTCCGGAGATTCAAAACGCAAAACGCAGCTGCAGCGTTTCTAAACTTCTCCGTTTTAGGTCTTCGTTTTTCCCGTTTTAGTGTGGACGGGAGGTGCAAACGTAGCAAAAGGTCTCCCTTTTTAAACGAAAACGCAGTAGTGTGGACGGGGCCTTAGCAAAGAAGTCTGAAAAACGGTCCATGTGATATGTAGGCCTTGTATACCGACAAAGGCTATGTCCACATTAATCCGGATAGATTTGAAAACGGGGTTTTAGTTTAAAAACGCTCTCCGTCCACACTAGCGTTTTCAGGCGTTTTCCGACGTTTCAGTGTGGATGAGAAACTTCTAAATTCACTTTACTGCGCATGCGTGAAACTTCACAAAAGCTCCCTGAGACGATACAGATGGGAAAATAAATAATAATGTTATCGCACAATAACAGGGTAATTTTATTTGGCAAAATATTCTCATCATCACGGATGCGTCCAGGTTGCATTCAGTCATCATATGTTTGGTCTAAAACCCAACTGCTCTGCTGTTTTGCCGCAGGACAGCAAATGTGAGTAAGCTACATTATCTGTCATCTTTGCAGTGCTGTGCTATGAAGAATAGCACATATTAAGTAACATAGAACGTAACATATTTTAGCAATAGTGTAAAATTGAATAACACATAACAGGCACAATACCGATAAACATGAATATCTATTGGTACTACATGGTCCACATGACTAAACTTACGTCATCGTTTTGAAATACCTCCGGTTTCACTGTCTACACTACAACGCGAAAACGGCGTTTTCAAATTTATCCACTTTGGAGAGCGTTTTCCAAACGATACGTTTTTGTTGACTTAAAACGGCGTCTCAGTGTGGACGGAAGGCCAAAACGGAGAGAAAAATATACGTTTTCAAACGAAAACGTATTAGTGTGGACATGGCCAAACTGAACATTTCGTTCGCAAGTGCAGAATAATTGGATATTAAAGTGTTGAGATAAAACATGGGGCACTTTATTAATACGTCTTTAAGCATCTTGTTGTAGCCCCAAATGCAACTGTCTTGGTGGGATTTCTAAATCGCTTGACTCCTTTGTGAAATCGATTTGTAATGTTAATCCGCTGCAAACAGACCTCCTGTTTCAAAATATTATTTTCTAACAAGTCTCTCATTATCATTCACCTTGATCAACATATCTTTCATAATCCTAATAAATCTCTAAAGAAAGGAGAGGACAGTCGTTACGAGATCTGGCCAGTTGAATGTCGTCCCCTGGTGACTAAAGTGAGGAACACTCAGGTCCTAAAGTTATGTTGTCAATTTCTTCATTTCAGTACATTTTTATACATAAAACGTTCCCCAATTCCTGTTTTTCTCACGTTAGAATTAAAATAGACGTACATCTTTTGATTTTCACCCTTATTTTATAGACGCTGCCTTTCAGCAGTGACAACATAAACAAACGGTACTGCGCATGTGCATTAATCTGGCCCAAACTTAACTTCCGGCAGATTTGCGGAGACAATCCATAACAAGTAAATAACCTAGCTGGTATTTCTTGCCAGTCAAAGAAAATAAATGTTACCTGGCCAAACTGAAATGTGACACTACCAGACCCGTTGAACAAAAATTGGAGACAAGATGCTACCGTGTCTGATTTACCGCAGTGTTAAAAAAAAAACTGTAGCGAGCGCGACGGCGGGGTTTGATAAGGTTAACATACTGTAGCTCTCCTTATTAGCTAGGCTACTTACATGCTTGCTAACCTTTTTTTAAGGTGGGTCTCCACATTGGCAGCATGTTGGATGGATCTGTGCAGCGCTGTTTATGATACTAACCATTCAACACACTCGTCCGCTGTCAATGTGTTTGAGAGAGAGAGAGAGAGCGTGCGAATATGCGCTGCACGCAACTCTGCAGTCAATTACAACTTTTCCCATCTTAAATTGTTAAAAACACGGAAATTAATATGTGGCGGTCAGCGCTGATAATGTGGTGGGCTGCCACTAATAAATGTATGGGAAACACTGTACCGGTTATCACTCAGATAAACATAGCTAGGCTATTTTAATACCGCCGTCTCCCTCATAGGAAACCTTGACATTTTTATTTTTTAAAATTGCGTTTGCTCCCTAGGTCAGGTTGCACTCCACAGCTCAACAACCTGTTTATCACCTTAACTTTCACTGCATTTGTAGTCAATGCCATAAACGCACAACCGGCACATCCGGGAACTTAACTGTCAATTTTGTCCCCGCCCCCTTTTGGGGGAAACAGACTTCAATACAAAATAACGGCAAAAACCAACGTCCGTACACAGCCGACAGGCGTAAATAACTTAAGAAATCACTTGAAACATGTCACGTAATTATCCACTCTGCCTGCCATAGAGCATGAAAGATACATTTTTTTATGCCCGTAATCAACTAGCCCACCCAGACAGCAAACTGACATTGAATCAACGTGGAAACAACGTCTCTCATGACATTGAAACAACGTTGATTTGCTCATCGAATTAACGTTGAACCAACGTCAGACGCGGCATTCTTCAAAGCTAAATGAAATCGAAAATTGGTTTGCTTTCATAACGTTGAAACAACGCGTTGATTTCAGGTTGATTTTCCGTTAGTTTTGAAAGAATGACGCATCTGACGTTGGTTCAACGTTAATTCGATGAGCAAAACAATGTCAGATCAACGTTGTTTCGATGTCATATTTCCACGTTGATTCAATGTCAGTTTGCTATCTGGGCCAGGCTACCTGCCATCATCATCATAAATTCATAGTATATACATTAAGGTTTTTTACTTAAAAAAAATGAAATAAAATCATCCAGGGGCTTACCTGGTGACTCGATGAGGTACAAATAAATGTCCGGGTAAGACACCTCTGGCCACTGGGTGGGGTTGTTACACCAATTTGACGCTGGGAGAATACAGAGACGTGTTTTTAAATTGGCCAAATTAAGTTTGTGTATGTATCTTTCACGCTCTATGGCTGGCAGGGTGGACATATAATTACTTGACATGTTTCATATAAGTGATTTCTTAAGTTATTTACGCCTATCGGCTGTGTACGGACGTTGTTTTTTGCTGTTATTTTGTATTGAAGTCTATGGGGAGTCTAGTTTGTTTTTCCCCAAAAGTGGGCGTAAACCTATTCAGAGACATTATCCAGTAAACACTAATGCTGCGTCCCAATTCGCATACTATCCGTCCTAAATATTATTCGAAAATAGAATTAGTACGTCCCAAATCGTAGTATGTTGAAATGAGTGTTTCAAAGATACCCGGATGGTCTACTTTTTCCGTTCAGAATCAGAAGTGTAGATCGATGCACACTCTAACGGCTGATATTGCCCACAAACCATTGCGCGTTGGACGAGGATTTGGTTAGAACTACAAACACGAGTAAAAAGTGTTACATACCCCAACAGTTTTGATTAATACATGAAAATAATTAATGACTGATACATTATTTACAGCATCTAGAAATGGCATTGCACATTTCTGAATGTTGAATTGGAGACTCACCAGTCATTTCTAACAGACTCGGAGGAGAGGATCCACCCTAGAACAAAAATGATTCCCATTAATCATCAGTTTTCTGTGATCACCTCGTTTGACTAACGCAATCTAGTATTAATGGCACATGCCAAAGCACAAAATATTTGCATACATCTAATTGAACACCCCCCCCCCCCCCCCCCCCCCAATCTTAGAGAGATTTTTCACTATTATGCAAGAGTAAACAATCTGATCTGATAAATAACCATAAATAAATTCATCACCACATCCTTTAAATAAAAAAAATATCATTTGTTATATATATCTCACTTTGGGGAGTCCAGTTAAGATTCAATTATTCTACCACCAAAATGACAGTGAGACCAAGACTTCATTCATTCATTTTCTCTGTCTAAAGTGTATTATGACTTTGCTTTTGAATTGCTGCCTAGATGATTGTATTGCTTATTGTTGCTAGAATCAAAATTCCATTTTACTGACATTAAAAAATTCACATTCATTTGAATGTCTCAAAGTGACTTTCTTAAATATATACAAGCATGTGTGTGTTTATATACATACCTGTGTATATATATATATATATATATATATATATATATATAAATAATTATACATAGTGCACCCACATATTATGTAAACACAAACTTTTATTTTGGATGCGATTAATCGTTTGACAGCCCTAATATATATTTATATAAAATATCAAAATTTAAACCTGTATTTCTTTTTTTTTCTTCTTCTTCAAAATATCTTCTTTTATGTTTCCACAGTGGAAAATAATCCATAGGTTTGGGCAATCTTATACTGAGTAAATGATGACAAAAAATGTTTTGGGCTATTGTCCCTTTAAGATTCATACATTTACATATATGAAATTTTTAAGGTAAATTTTAGACAAAAAATAGAGACTTTAAATTAATGAACTTGAAATGAAACTGAATTTTGTGGCTTCCCTCACACCTCACTGGCAGTAGCATATTAGTCATCTCTAGAAATAGCAGTTGAGCTTTGGATCATTTTAAACGTTTAGAGATTACTTTGCAATTTTTTACTGTCCAACAGCTCATTATGTGAGACCCCCGTAACAGAAGGTCCTGTTCATTTTCTAAGCTTGAACTCTCAAGTGACCTTGCAAAAGCCGTGTCTCGAATGACGTTTAAAGCAGCTCTCTGAAACAGGCAAGTGAAGCCAAAGAAAGAAGTGGCCTCTTGGTTCACAGAGCATTTTTTCTCGCGCTTAACCATTGCTTTCCGCCTTCACGCTTGGCTTTTGATTTGTATGGTGGTCCGAACAAAGCATTATTGGTGACAATAGGTTAAAAGCTTACAATAAGGATATGTCATCCACCAACATTCACTGAATGTGTGATAGTGAGTTCATTTTAAAATCACTAATAAATTTTCAATTCAAGGATTTATTAGATTGAATGCACAACAGAGACAGACTCGTTTGACCAAAAGCCATTCTTTCGTTTATTTCCCACATCGTCACTTATTTGACTTTAAATTGGTCCAAATTTCCCTGTGGCATCTTAAAGCATTAACTTCAGCAACGCTGATCATATAGATTTTCATGGGTGTTCTCAAGGATCAAGAGCACTTGAGGTCAATCCCGTGGAACAATAGATCTAAAGCAGCTGAGAGTTTTAATATCCTGGAGTTGGACAAACTGTGTGCACTGTTTGGATTGGAGAGGGACCATTTTTATTGGAAGTCAGACAAACATGGATAAAACTCTTGTTTATTTCTAGTTTATTATTTCTTATTAAAAGTTTATTTCTATGCATGCATTTTTTTTTTCCTAGATTCATCAAGCTAAAAAAGTGTTTTCTGTGGATTGTCTGTGCTGACCATTAGTTTTTTTCCTCCAGGTGTTGAACGTAATCCTCATTATACAGACCTGAAATGTGAAGCTGTTAGTTTCATAGCCATATACTCTTTTTATTGCAGTATGTGTGTGTTTGTGTGTGTGTGTATGTTAGTGTGTGTGCATCATGAAGTAAGAATAATATTTATTAGTAGTTCATATGACCACATGGAAAACTATTTGCTCCCTTGCAGCCAATATCTTCAGCTGTAAAAATGTTGCTTTTTTCGTCAGTGGAAATATACTTTGTTTTCACTAATGACACCAGATCATTTCCAAATATATTCAGCATTTTATCTATCTATCTATCTATCTATCTATCTATCTATCTATCTATCTATCTATCTATCTATCTATCTATCTATCTATCTATCTATCTATCTATCTATCTATCTATCTATCTATCTATCTATCTAATCTATCTATCCGATAGATGAGCTCTGTCACACAGTTGTTGAGGATTATCAGGTGTAAGGTAGTGAGTTTTCAGTCGTCATTGAATACTATGGGATTGTCCATGATGCTTCATCCGGCCTTTGGTAAAGTTTGAGGCTTTTCATTAACATGTTCATGATCCATACACACTTCCCCATACCCAAATAGTGTGAGGAGATACCGTAAAACATTTAATGTAATTTCTATATTTATTTGTGCACAGTCGATGGATGTATACATAGTATACAATGAATTTCAATACAAAAACATGAGTGCCTTTTGCTGTATTAACAAATGATGGAATAATAATAAAAAAAGTAATAAGGGAGCACCTTTTAAATGAATGAAATGAAATTCAGCAACAACATCTGGTTTACAGGGTTTGTTTTCACAAATTACAAAACATCTTCATAAGTCCAGCAGAGAATACATCTAATTAATTTACAATAAAACACTAGATTTTCCATCCATGGTGACTTTACTAAAATCATAGTGGCCATAGCAGCTGCATGTGTAGTATGAATACAGGTAAAATAAGACTTGTATTTTTCTTTAATATTTCTTTTTTAGATTTAGGACAGTCATAGTAAAATATCTGCATCTTTTAGCAGAGTTCAGTTTTTGCAAGACCCATAAGACTTTCTTATGTTATACTTGCAGTATAGCGATAACTGATAAAGTTGATTGCCATAAAAGTATATTAACTGATTTATTTGTAGTATGTTATCTGTTTTATCCCTTTGTGTACAGCACCATTATATAAAACTTGAACATGACTTATTTTATTAATGTAAATATGTTTTCAGAATCTGTCCTCCACAACCCAAAATGACAGGGTGAGATACTGATTATGTTTAATAAACCCAAACTAAAAGCCTACTTTCGGCGCCATTGTTTTGTCTTCTCTATATTTATATGTAACCCTAAATTCTGCGTGTTGGACCTTCAATGATTAGCAACACTTGAATCTACTGACTAGCTCATCTTAATATACGAATACAAATGATCAATAGTGCATGGACCAAGATGCCCTATTTTTGCATACAATATGCTTCACATTTAGATCAAATTATTCACATGTATATAAAGTCTGAATACAAACTCAAAACACTTTTGCCACAAATCGGATATCTTCACTTTATCTACAAACCACATGCAGAGGAGATGCTGTAAAAGTCTGTTTTTGTGACAGTGTTAATGCCATAACAACTTTACGTGGTCTGTTTTATTTGGTTGCTTTAAAACACCCTGTCCTTTTCGAGGTAGGTGATATCTAACTATACCTTAAAATGCGACATGGTAAAATTCCTCATTGATGACGACATTCCCATTCCCAACGCACAAGTATTAAAGACCACTGCTTTTCACGTTATATCTCCATAAAATGGGTCCCAGAACACACACAATGGGTCTCTAGCAGGGCCGAACGGTGCAAAAGTCCAGTTCCTGTGGCTTTCTTTTGCTTGAGCAATGGTCTCTAGGTAAAAGCAGCCCAGTCTGAGAGATGCATCGCAGTGGGCGTCTCTTATAGCCTTTCCCGCAGGTTTTAGAGCATGGGGACCATTCGCCGACGCTCCACGTTGGGCAAGGGTCACCACACACCCTCATAGTACTGGGCCTTTGGGTGCCATCACAGTGTGTGGCTGGTTCCCCATCCGAGTCCAAACACTGTATCAATCTACTTTGGACCCCGTTCCCACAGGTAACCGAGCACTTATTCCAATCCGCCGTTACCCACTTATAAGACGGCGTCTGATAGGCCGGCTTCTTCAGTTCCACTTTATTGCTGTCTTCCAGCACGCTGTTATGCGCAGGGTTCCTCTCCTCCTTCTTTAAGATCTTGCCCTGTTTATTTCCCACAGTCAGGTAGTAGGAGTAGCGCACGCGAGGCGGTGTCATTTTACCCACCGACAACAGTTCCACGGTGAGAGACTCTTTGAGAGGTCTAGTGATCTGCAGCGTCTCCACCGATGTGCCCGTTCCACTGTAGCGCAGCAAACCTCCCTTTACGATAATGTCTTTTTCTACCGCTGAAACCACGAAGTTTCCATTCAGGAGGTATTTACCTTGGACATTCTTCACTGCTAAATAGTTGTCGTCGTTAATCAAACCGCGGTAACCACGCTGCCTTACGTCCACGTTTGCAGCTCCAACCGGTAGAGTCACCACAAAGTTATATCCACTCCTATAAAAGCAGATCACATGATTGGACAATATTCAGAATGCAAGATTAAATTGGAAATTGGAATTAAATTTAAATTGGAATTTGTACTGGAATGACAGGTGAAATAAATTATAGGATTATGGGTAAAGGCACTTGCACACTGAGTCCGAAATTCCCGTCCGAATTTTTCGCATGTTAAAAAATAAATGCGACCTCACGTTATGTCAATCACGCTTGCACACTGCCTCCGAAACTTTTGTTCGCCATAAAAAATCGAATCGGGTTTTTTTTTTTTTTTTTTGCGTTTTTCGCATCCGTAGCTAACAGTTTGAATGGAGTTTGCATTTGAGTTGGACAATTCAGAGCCACCAAATCACGAATACGAAAAAGAAAAAAAAACACATTCGAAAATTACGGACTCAGTGTACAATGGCATTAAGGAAGTTGTTCCACCAGCCTTTAACATTTTAAATTATTAAATTAAAATATTACAATAAAATAAATAATAATATTAAAGATGTATATAAATAAAATTAAAACCATATACTCACTCAAAGATAAAGCACTTACATGGGTTTTGTGAACATTCCAGAGACTTTCTTGCAGTTTTGGTTGTCACCACCACACACACCACACTTGTCAAACTTCATGTTGGAGCTCAGTTTGCCATCACAGCCAGCCTTGATGCACTTTCCTTGAACACAGACCGCTGAGGTGTCAGGGGAACAAGTGGTTCCGTCCACCACCTGTCACACAGATAACATTCACCATCACTACACCATCGGCCTCTTTTTAAGTGTGGTAACTTGAGGGTGTTGAGTTATACAAGAGTAGTTCCCAGTAAAACCTATGCCCTTGGTGTTGCTAGTGGCATGTTCTGCCAAATGATCAACAGGAACACTTCTAGCTCTCCTTGTCCATGTTTCATCAAGTCAAGTATTTTTTCATTGTACAAAAACAATCTTATTTTCATCCCCCACTGGTTGTTTTGAAGTATTTAAATAGGAAAAGAAATAAAAGGGGCGTTCGGGAGAGTCGGGAGTTTCTCTGGTGGACCGGTAGTGTTTCGAGGCCGCAAGGGCCGGTCTGATAAAATGTTTTCATTGCAAGTTCGCCATGCGGACTTGGGGCTCAAGCGAGGGTAAGAAAAAAGTGTTGGTTTTTTTTACATTTTAGATAACGGAGCATTAAGTGCCTGTCTTTTTAGTAAAAAGACACACGTTTTGAAATAACTACAGTGGCGTTCGTAGGGCATGAAGTGCTTGAAAGCAGCTTTTGATGCACTCGACCCGAGTTCGAATCCGCCTTTTGCCGAACTCTCTCTTCTCCCTTTTACCAACACGTACAGTATGAGATGTAAAATGTATAACCTAACTTAAAGGTCTCTAGCGTTATATTTTGCCAACATACTAAAATCGAAACCATGATATGGCTTTGTGCCTTTATAAAACAGCCCAAGACTTTAAAGGGTAACTAAACCCCTGGTCAGAGCCTGGCTCCACCCACTGGCAATATTTGAAAAATTCTGGAAAAGTGGGCAGAGCCCAGCGGAGGGGGGCGTGCACCTGAGACGCATCTCTTTGTATGGAACTTGCCTACGTCACCAACAACCGCTGTGTCACGTACCACCGCAAATATCCAATAGGAAAATTCAACTGCAGTAGCCACCGTTCAACCTGAAGAGGGCAGCACTAAGACGTTTTTACACCATATATTGTAGAAATAGAACACTTTATAAAGAAATGGCAAAAAAGTTACTCGAATCAATGACTGGTATTAATAAAGATCCATTCTTACAGATCATTAACTAAAAAAAGTAGGTTAAGTGTTTAGTTACTCTTTAAGAATAGGCATCCTGTTTGTGCTGCGTGATTTAAAGAAAAGTGTGCTCAAGCGATCAGCATGGTTATCTGGTGTTTTCTCCTAAAGCTCAAGGGTTTATTTCTTGCAAGTGAAGAAATTAGGACAAAAATATTTTAATTTTCCTATATAAATATAGTGTCATGTTGGCTAAAATATACTTTAAATGTATGCATTTTAATTTATATAGTACATTTATAGGCTATATGGATTTTACGTCATAGGAATAATTATATAAATCATTATTACATTATTATAATAATTGTTTGGCATCCTAAAACACCATTGATAATGTAATGGAGACTGAGACTCTCAAAGCTAAAAAGATGTTTGAGCCCTCTTTAAAGTCCTGCTACAAATCAATGCTTTTTCTTTGTTCAACGAGCAGTTCATGGGTTGAAGCTCTTAATTTTGATCTCTCAAAGAGCACTGGATTTAACTTTAAAATGTACAAAATGTTCTTGCGGGGGACCCCCGAACCCCCCTAGAGGCACAGAGGTCCACCCAACATAGTTTTACAAATTCCTATTGGAAAGAACGACCATTAATGAACTTTACCCCAGCATAGTACATCAAAGTTCCTTTTAAGTCAGTAAAACTGTAAATGCCTTATTAAAATGTCCTTGGACAAAATATACATTTGGCCTGCCTAAGAGACATTGTGCCCAGGGGCCTCTGCACTCTTAATCCGGCTCTGTCAGTAATAAATGTGTGGTATGTTGACCAAGTGGTGCAAATGATGATAATCTAATTTTTTTTTTTAATTTACTGTACTCGAGAAGCAGGATTATGGTCCAATGGGACGTCATGTGGGCGTGGCTAGCTTAGAAATAGAAACCAAGCAACGAACAGACTGTAGCACCACCGTTGCTGTGTTGTGGTGCTGCTGGTTAGGACATGGTTGTAGTTGTGTAACTATTGTAAGCTGAAACAGCTGTATAGATTGCTGATACTGTGGCTGATTCTCTCTTCCCATCTACAGCATGAGTGATTGTGACAAGCAGCCCTGCACTGTGTCATTCCACACAGCCATATCTGAGAGATAAGCCCACCATTGCTTTTAAAAGTATCTTGTTCACTTTGAAAAAGGGGTTGTTATTCCTTCCATGAGATAAAAACTGGCTCAGAACTCGTCCTGCATAAACCACAAATGTCAAACAACTTGAAAATATTGAAGCGGGTATATCAATTTATTTACCTTCTGCGCTAGGACATAGAAGTAACCGGTGCCATTGGCTCGGCAGATGAGCTTGCATCTGTCCTTAACGGAGATTCCAGAGTATTTCGGGACCCAGACCACAGACGGACTCAGTCTGTTAGTGTTCAGACTCAAACCATTGAATGTCTCACACTGCTCCTCACGAAAGCTCTTTCCTGTCCCAAATAATCATCGTCAGACACGGATATTGACTCATTCATTGGTTATCATGAGGCTAAAAGATTTAGTTTACCTGAATCTTTGCAAGGCTCTGTGTTGCAGGAGCGATACTTCACTCTCAGTCCTTGGCAGTACTTGCCCCCGTTTTCAGGGACGGGGTTGTTACAGTCCCTTTTGGCGAGCTGCACCCCTCCCCCACACATACGGGAACACGGACCATACTGACCCCAACGACCCCAACGGCCATCTACCTGCGGAAAGAGTCCACACGACTTAGAAATTATTACAAACCTGATGAAAAGACTGGCGAACAAGTTTTTTTAACTTGTTTTTCACTTAAAAAATGATCTAAAAAATCTAAATCTAAAAATCCCTAAAACAAGTTAAATTAATGTGATAATCAACACTATATAAGATCGTATCTTGTAGACTTGTTTTCAAATATTATATCTTGAATAAAATTGTTTTTGTTATTGTGCATTGGCAAACTTTTTATTTTGTTTTTAACACATTTTTTTTTTTTTTTTTCATTTATGAAAACAAGCATTAATGCCTTAAATGGATTTTGGTAAATTTGACTACTTTTTTTTTTTTTTTTTTTACTGGAAAATTGGACAAAAATACAGTCTTCATCAATAATATAATATAATAATTTATTTTATATAAAATGTGTGTACACTTTTCTGTGTATACACTGTTCATAAGATGTTTTCTGAAAGAAACAAAAACATTTATTCAACAAGGACACGTTAAAGTTAATAAAAGTGACAGTAAAGACATTAATAATGTTACAGAATATTTTTATTTCAAATTAAATATCGGTTTATCAAAGAATACTGAAAATCGGTTTCCACAAAAATATTAAACTGCACAACTGTTTTCAACATTGATAATAATAAGAAATGGTTGATAAATCATCTTGTAGAAAGATTTCTAAAGGATCATGTGACACTGAAGACTGGAGTAATGATGCTGAAAATTCAGCTTTGCCATCACAGAAATAAATTGAATTTTAAAATATATCACGATAGAAAACAGTTATTTTAAATTGTAATACTATTTCACAATATTACTGTTTTTGATTAAAATAAATGCAGTTGTGATGAGTATAATAGTATTCTTATTTTAATATCCAGGGGTGACTGACAAATCAAGAGCATTTGTCTGCAGTCAGATATATCACTCACCTTGTCTTTGGTAGTATTTTGCTTGTCAGTACAAATCCCCCGGTAGCACAGCTTGTTACTTCCACAGGTCGTCCCATCAGCCCAGGGAAAGTGGCGAGTCTGGCACACCAGCTGTCCTTTAGCTTTCCCAGTGCACCACAGTTTGGAGCAGGCCTGCATATACGGGCAAGGCTTAGATCCTGAGCCGAAGGCCAGCTCGCACTGACGGCTTAGCGAGTAGCTGACACCCGGAGGGTCCTCTGGAAGAGCCAGGAGCTTTTGGGGCTGATCCAGCAAACAGTCACCTAGAGAGCAATGAGTACATTTGTGCTGAGCGTATTGAAAGATGTGACTGAGATACACATATCAGTGTGGGTTAGACAACAGAGTAGTCGGCAAAATCACCATGGCCAGCGTCCAGGAAGTCCGTGATGATGGCAGCACTGCAGACAGACCATGGCATGTTGTGGTCGATCTGGATCAGTGTGGGAGACATCATATGGTTGTCCTTCAACTTTCCAAATGCCTCCTCACAAGCCTTCACATTGTCATGTGGCATACTGAAGACATGGCCTGGACAAGAGCCAGAGATATAGTCAAGCCATGTCAGTTTTCATTTCGATAAAGGAACTTGGACATTAATATTTATATTTTGACAAAGTTTGTCTATTGACAAAAATATTCTTTAAATTTTTGTCAAAATTTCATCATGTAACATTCAATAATTTTAGTAACCTTTACTGACTGATTTTCCGTCTGTCTGTCTGTCTGCCTGCCTGCCTGTCTGTCTGTCTGTCTGTTTATCTATCTATCTATCTATCTATCTATCTATCTATCTATCTATCTATCTATCTATCTATCTATCTATCTATCTGTCTGTCTGTCTGTCTGTCTGTCTGTCTGTCTATCTGTCTTTCTATCTATCTATCTGTCTGTCTGTCTATCTGTCTTTTGGTCTATCTGTCTGTCTGTCTATCTGTCTTTTGGTCTATCTGTCTGTCTGTCTGTCTGTCTTTCTGTCTATCTCTGTCTATCTATCTATCTTTCTATCTATCTGTCTGTCTGTCTGTCTGTTGGTCTATCTGTCTGTCTATCTGTCTGTCTGACTATCTATCTATCTATCTATCTATCTATTTATCTGTCTGTCTGTCTATCTCTCTCTGTCTGTCTGTCTGTCTGTCTATCTATCTTTCTATCTATCTATCTATCTGTCTATCTGTCTGCCTGCCTGCCTATCTATCTATCTATCTATCTATCTATCTATCTATCTATCTATCTATCTATCTATCTATCTATCTATCTATCTATCTATCTATCTATCTATCTATCTATCTATCTATCTATCTATCTGTCTGTCTTTTTGTCTGTCTATCTTTCTGTCTGTCTGTCTGTCTGTCTGCCTATCTATCTATCTATCTATCTATCTATCTATCTATCTATCTATCTATCTATCTATCTATCTATCTATCTATCTATCTATCTATCTATCTATCTATCTATCTGTCTATCTATCTATCTGTCTGTCTGTCTGTCTGTCTGTCTGTCTGTCGTCTGTTTGCAAGGTGTACAATGACTAACACATCCAAATATGTTCAAAGAGTTTAATAGGTCTGTACAAACAATTTAAGGATGGCACTCGTGGACCAGCCACGGTGAATGTGGTTCTTTCAGCATCTGCTAATGTTTTCTCATCTGTCTTTTATTAAACCTTTGTTTCCCAGGGATCAAGAGATGTGGAAAACTCTTGAATGTTGTTGTCATCGTTCTACTAAATTAGTAATGGATGACAGTATGTTTTTTTTTTTTTTTCCTTGAAACAGCTGGCACAACATTCATGATTAAAGATCAAGGAATCAGAGATAGAATTTCAGGAGTGAGAAGCCTCCCATCACCCTAAAGGATTCAACGTAATTACACCACAGACAGTCTCAGGGTGGCCACTGGGGAGAGAGGGACCTTCAGTTCACCTTCTTATTTAGCACACAAAAGTCTGACTTTAAAACCAAACATAGATCTCACCTAGTTCATGTGCAGTGGTGAAGGCCGAGGGGAGACCATCATCTTCAATAACCGAGCAGCTCCTCTTAGGATCACACATGGTGCCTACATCAGCCATTCCCAGAGTGTCACACGTAGTGGCCCCACAAAGGTCCTGTGAAATCAGTTATTGTGACATAAGAAGCATCAAGTGTTTCAGGAGCAGTATGAAGATGACATCTACACCATAAAAATCACTTCATTAATCTCTGAAGTCATTTAAATCTTCCTCATTGCTCTGATCCAAAGCATATGTGTGTGTGAACCTTCTAATTCCAATTAGTCAAATCAGAATACAAGCTGGCTATGACATAATGTGAAGCACAGGACCAGCAAGGGTGGTCAAGAATGCCTGTAAACAGCTGTAGTTATGACCTTGTTAAGAGGACAGATGGAACCATGCGAGAACATCATAATGCAGCCACCTGGAGTCTTCACGGAAGAACATTTGGGAACATTGAGTATAGTGTCTTGAAAAAAATGGTTCAACTTTCTCATGCTGTCAAACACGAGGAGCGGTGTAGTTTGAAGGAAGATATATTATTCAGTTGTGAAGCTATGAATGCTTTTTTAATCCTTAAAAATAATAGCATTTTTACTTAATATTTAGCAGAAAAGATGTTTTTATTGCTTTATTTACGAGTAATATGGAGTAGTATGGAGTTAATCTTGCTGAAATAACAGGTGCAGCACAGGTATCTTGGCACAGCAGGCAGATAGAGACAGCTGACTTAGATCAATCCTCTGCTTGAGTCAGTATTATATCGAGTGTTTTTGTTACTCCTGACGTGTGCTTTCAGCTTTCTGATGATGTAATGCTGCTTTTAAGTTTGTATTGGAATCAAATGGTAGAAAATTACATTTTCTTTTAGGAGCCCTCCCTAGCTTTGACATGTTTCCAGCAATGTTTTACGATTTTCATATCCAGATGGCATGTCATGTTCGTTTAGAAAGGGTTTCTACTGTGGCAAAACCACTGAAGGATGTAATGCGTAACAAACTCAGCCATACCAGGTGACTATAAGGAACAAATTAGGAAAAGAAGGTATGGGTCAGCGACTAATCAGGATAGTATCAGAGGTGATGAAAAGGAGAAATCTTTTAACAATCTAGCTCAAAGCGTGTGTGCTTAGTAAAAATGTAATCTTTATGTTCATAGTGGTTTAAATATAGATAGATAGATAGATAGATAGATAGATAGATAGATAGATAGATAGATAGATAGATAGATAGATAGATAGATAGATAGATAGATATAGGCTATGTTTTTTTTTTCAAACAACAACAACAACAACAACAACACATTTCATCATAGAAGGGATGTATTAAGCCATTTGGTATGAATTCAATTTTGGGGGGTATTTTAAATGACTTAATATAGCATTGACCCGTATGTATTTCTTACCTGCTTTGTAAACAAAATAGCCGTGTCCCAATACTCTGGGTGTTTGTCGTTGTTTTTATTCAGCTTCTTCTGCCAGGTGCAGAAATTGCGCAGGGTTAGTGCCGCGTTACTGGATACTTTGGGTCCCTTTTCTGCCTCATTAATCACCACAAGCTTTACAACCACTATACTGATGGCGTTCAAGATACTGGGGTGTTTGTACAGCTTTGCAGTGACAGACATGAGAGTCAAAATGTAATGCTTCAGGTCGTCACCGTGGAATTTCGCCATAGACTCATCAGCAGCAACCAGGACCTCTACGTATCTCGGTATAGAGGCGAATCTTTTCGATCTGCTCAAAGTTTCTGTGAAGTTCCTCGTATGTCCCTTCACGTGCTTGTACTTTTCTAAGGACTCCACAGCGCCCGGGTTTAAGCCAGATGTAACTCCGCACCGAGATGTTGAGTTCCGAGCGTGAAGATGTCTTCTCCTGCGGATGATGTGCGTTTTCTCAGCATCATCTGTGTTGGTCGACCTTCGTTCTATGAGGTACTCCATCCCGTTATAAGAAAACGCACCTCGGACACCTTCACAGAGACTGACAGCTGCGTATGAACTCCTGTCTGCGTTAATATCACCGGAGTAAAAGCATTTTCTAAGATCAGGTCCTGAAAAAGCACTTGAGGTCGAAGGGGTGTCATATTGAAATGTGCCGTCAGGAGCCAGAAAACTGGAGTCAGGCAGAAGATTGAGATAAAATTCCTGATTAAAAGCGTTTATTCTGTAAACAACAAGTTCTCGGTTCAGTTTGTCAGGTCTTGGGATATTTTCTCGGTCAAGTCGAACAGGTTCACAAAAATCAGTTTCCATACAGAGGTATATTTTTGTTAAAAAAAGCAAGTGACAAAACAAAACAACGGGTAAAACCGACATCGTCGTTGTTGGTGATTATATATATCCCTCAAAGTGTAAATCACACCGTGATGCTCTCGATCATGGTTTTGTATCCGTCATAAGAATTAAGCATAGCCACAATCGCCATCCATCGCCATGGTGTTTCTCTCTGTGAGACCGGCTCTCTCTTTTTTATTCTTTTGCGTCATATGTAAACATTGCAGACTGTAATGTAAGTTTTAGGGAGGTTCAGATGAGAGCTCATGGTTCATGTTGAACACTGCAGACACCGCTGGCTCTCTAAATATGAGCATCAAGCCAGGCGCGCTCCAGAGGTTACCTCCCACTCTATTAGAAATGCCTGTCATTTCATAGAGGTGTGAAAATAGACTACTTGGCAAATTACTTTGAGGGAACTGTGTAAACTGGCTAATTTTTTTTTTTTGATAAATCAATTTTAATTAGGCTACTCCTAATTTTTTAACTTTTTATTTTAAAATATAAAAATAGGATAGAGTTCAAATAAAGGCAATGCAATGAAATGCATGTTTCAATCATTTCAAATATGTAATAGGCCCATTAATGAGAGGAGGTGATGAAAGCATTAAAACACATAATCCTAATCATTTTGATTAAATTGTAGACTACTTTAAGAGTTTTTGACAGCCATGAGAGTAAGTTTAATAATTAATAAAGTCAATGAAGTTCAAATTATACAACAAGAGCTTCATTCATGAATATCATATTCACAAACAGCATATTAATCATGAAGTTGAATAGATAAAGTTGTTAGCCTAGGCTACTATTTCAACGCATTCTCAACCCAAGGCGTCACCTTTGACCATGCTTCAATATTTGACGTTTTAGGTGCCCTTTAGCGTCACTTACATGACGCGATCCTACGGCGTCATCTAACTGACGCTAAAGGGCGCCTAAAGCGTCAGATATTGAAGCATGTCCAAATGCTTCCCAAGGCGTCAGTTAGGTGACGCCTTGGGAGTGAGAATGGGCTGACTTTGTATTGCCATTTGACAGTAAGAATGAATACAAATGAAAGTCATTAACAATTTTATTCACACACAATATTGTTACAGTAGCCTACACCTATAAACAAATGCAAGGATAATAATCGTATTCATGGTATTAATAATTAGTATGACATTCATTTAGTATGCCATTTCCTCGTTTTAACCGGATTCCCTGAAGTGGTGCTACCTTTGTATCATTTCACATCTCATAGATTGAATCCAAAATGTGCACATTTTTATATTTGTAACATCAGGCTCTGCAAGTTTGTGTACTGCTGCTGGATGCTATAGCAAAGTCCTTCAGATTTCCACCATCAACCCCTCCTCTCATCAGATGAACTCCACACATGTGGTCATGACAGGGCTTTGAAAGCTCTTTGGAAGCAGCACAAACAGTAGATGACTGTCCATTATGACACCTACTGTGAACTCTTGCATGAACTGCCAAATGAACCACATGTAGAACATTGCAGCTTCTTTGCCCTTGCCCATAGTGGGAAAAGTCACATTTCATATACTGTAGCGATATGGGCTAGCCTGTCTAGTTATTGGAATAACTCCATCGGTTTGCTGATTTTAGCATGTACATCAGAACCTTTTCTGGCGTTTGTGACCCTTACTGACCTAAATGCCATACAGATTCTGTATAATCTTGCTTTGGGCTTATATAGAATTGAATTATCTTTTTATTATTATTTCCAGTGTTGATTGTATGCATAAAAACTGGTTGTGAATCATAAGCTACATAGTTAATATGAAAAATACTCATTAAAAGGTTGACGCCATTAACCATGGCGCAGTTCAATGCCAATAGGCCTACATGCAGTAAAGATAGTAACTGACAATAAAGATAATGCAACAAAATTGTTTGCAAAATATCAATCTTTAATAGGTTAAAACAGTTGAGGGACTACAAAAATACAGATTATCTTTAAAATATTTAAGTAGGCCTACATGTTTACGTATCTATGTAGCCTACTAATAGAACAAGTAGCCTATCATGAATGTATAGGCTAGTCTTTAAACTTATTTCTATCTAATTTAAATCATCGTCGCCCTCTGGTGTCTGAGTCACAGAATTTCTCAACTGTTTCAGACTAGTGCGAATCACGTCCATATACAATGTCTTACTGCCACCTTGTGGGGACTGAACTTATGTCCCCATTCTACATACTGAGTCAGCTGACGAACATTTCTAAAATAGTGATGCTTTTAAAGAATCTGAACACAACCTACTACATTGTATAGCCTTTCTTGTGCAGATTTCCAGATTGTTTAAAACAGCCCAATGGTGATCATTTATCAATCAGCACTTGTGGAGTAGCCTAATTAAGCATTTCTTTTCCAGTTTTCAGTTTTTTTTGTTTTGTTTTTTACATAAATCAGCTGTATGCCTATATTATTATGTATCACTTCATCAAGCATTAAAATGTCGCAAATATATGAAATAGACCTATTTGACGTTTTGCTGGAACATATTAGAACATGAAAACCATAGACCGTAAAAGAAAACTAGAAATACACAAATATTAACTACTCAGTTTACAAACTGTTTCTATTTAGGAAGGGGCGTGCTTCTCAGTTTTCATTGGGCAAACCCGATCCAGAGGTTTTTCATGAGGGCACAGTGGGAGGAGAGACTGCAGCAGCGCTGGATATCAAAAATAAACCTCTCATTTCTCAGAAAGTATAAATACCACCGCCTCAATCCGTGAGACAGTCCTGGACTTAAGAGCTCACGAACTTGGCTCCGAATTCTTTTAAATTCAATTTGTGTAGCCTATACTTGGTGATATTGCATTAAAAAAATAATAATTATTCAGTTTTAAAATAGATTTAAGCTAATGAAAGAATGTGCTGGATAGGCTAGCTAATTTTAAACTTTTAGGATATTAACATTTTTTTCAGATCAATGATTCAGTAAATTCGAGTAGGTAATCAATTCGTTATATTTATTGTTTTCCTTTTTGAAACAGCGCCATATTATGAAAATGTGGTCGTATTTATTCATATCTACATTAACTGTTTGCCTCTGTGCTGAAACATCTGCTCACTCGTTTGAGACTGAGGAGATTATACCTGTACGGCTGACTGGAAGGACCGGTGGACGAGTGGCAAAGAGGAGTGAAGAACAACTCAGCTTCAGACTCACGGCTTTCGGCAGGAATTTCACACTTAATTTGACACCGGACAGCACCTTTATATCGCCAGAACTGAAGGTATATCGCATCAAAGTCAAACCACAAGAAAGACTTGAGTCAACCAGCAACCCGAAAAATCTTTATACTTCCTTGAATCAAACTGAAGAGACTGGAGCAGATGTATTAAAAGGTTGTTTTTACACCGGCGCTGTTGACTCCAATGAGGACTCTATTGTTTCTGTCAGTGTATGCCGTGGGATTTTAGGATCATTCATTACAGATGGTAAAGAATATACAGTCGAGCCTAAACTTTTAGGCTTGGGAACATATGGAAAGATAACCGAGCAGCTGCATGTCATTAAAAGAAGACGTTTCACAAAGTCCCCGCAGGTCTCTAAACAGCTGTCAGATATCAGAGATGATCATCAAAAGTCGATGATCCAGATGCCGTCAAGGCGCACGCGCTTTGTCTCCACGCCCAGGTTTATCGAGACTTTGGTGGTCGGCGACGCTTCCCTGACACATTTCTATGGAGATGAGATCAAGGTAAGGGTTCACACAAGTTCTAACCATTTTGACAGCTGGAAAATCTGTTTCAGGATATGGTAGCTGGTATAAGATGTTTAATAACTGGTGCAAGATGATGCAAGCTGGTCATTGTCTGGTGGTTGACCAGCTATCATCTTACAAAAACCATGCAGTCTGACCACTTTCAGATGGGATGCCCAACTGGGGTTTGCTGTTCTAAGATTGTATGCAGCTTGCACTTGTTAATATGTGTCTTTACATAGGCCTACAATTGAGTTTTTTTTAAGATGGTCTCCCAGCATGGCCAAACTGGTTTTGCAGGTCAGAAAGCTGGTCTTCCAGTCTAACTAATTTAAATTTGCCCCAAATCCTGCTAAAACCAGTCAATAGACAAGACCAACTATGCAAGTCAATCTCACAAACCATTTTAGGTTTACAGATACTATTTAATACCATAGGCTACCCCACCCTCTGGAGTCACATACTTATCTAATATCGAAAGAAGGATAAAACCTTTACCAGTAAGAGCTATTTAGTGTAGCTTGAGGGACATCTCAAAACATAGTTGTACAAGAATTAGTCACGGTTCATAGGAACTGTACTGTACTGATCTTTACACCCACTTATGATCCACCACCCCCTGAAATTCTCCTTCATTGAGTCATCGAAAACAAATGATTGGAAAAAACTAGAGTGTGAAAAAATGCACTGTCTGGGTCGGGATCATGAGGCAGATTTCAATCCAGATGTCAATATTGGGATCCAAATCCAGACCAGCTGCTTCTACTGTTGATATCAGGGCATTCCAACAAACAAACCACTTATTTACAGTATGTGGAGCTTAAACATAAAAAGACAATCTCTATCGGCTAATAATTATTCTCATTTAAAGAATACTGAATGATGTATTACATACACACCAAACATGTAAATGCATTTTGACCTGCCTGCTAAAAGTAATCAATAATCATGTCTCCATTATCAAAATATGAACTTTTTATTATTGTCTATTGCAGTGTACTGCATCTGAATAAGCTGGAGATTTGATTGTCCACAATAACTTAATATGAAAAATATGCAGAGTAAAATCCATCCCATTCAAGGAGTTCTGAACTGTCCTGCCAATGATGTCACGCTTTTACACTTAAAGGTGCAGTAAGCGATTTCTGAGAATCTTTTTTTATTAAACACTGCTGATATTTGAAATCAACCCAAACAAACACACCACTCTCTTCATTGCTCCGCCTCCAAAATATGTGAACATACAATGAAAGCGTGGAATTTCTCTTAATTCTCTTAATTAAGCGTAGATGACAAACGAACGACAAGGAAGAACATAAAATGAAAACAAGAGTATATTCAAAGCAAGAGTTGATTGTCAGTCGTCAGCAGCACACATTCAAAACCAATGTTACTCACGTCTCTTTTCAGGGCAGGCCTTCCCTCTTGGGTTTCTCCAGTGCTGGAAACCTTCTCTATTATTAACACGGGTTCTAAAGCTCTTGCCTGATCTCTTTTTCAAGTGATATTCCTCTGACCTTTTCTCTTTTTGTAATGTCTCTCAGCCATCTCTCTTTCTACAGTCTTTGCTCACGCTCTCTCCTCCCCCATCATGAGTGGACAAGCCCCCTACTGCTAATTGGCTACAAATTTGTTGTGGTGCTTGGTTAGATCCACTTTCAACAGTGTTTCTCAGAAATCGCTAACTGTACCTTTAACATTCTGCTGCACAGTTGGTGAACAGCAAGCTTTTTGTTTTCTCTCTTTAGCACTACTTGTTGACTTTGATGTCAATGGCTGCTCAGATTTACAAGCATCCTAGCATTAAGAACTCCATCAACATAGTGCTTGTGAAGATGCTGATTGTGGAGGACGAAGAGGTTGGACCGTCAGTCTCCAGCAATGGAGGCGTCGCTCTGCGTAACTTCTGTGCCTGGCAACAGCTCTTCAACCCGCCCAGCCACAGGCACCCAGAGCACTATGATACAGCCATACTTTTTACTCGAGAGGTGAGCAGTGATTTATTATGTATTTTATGGGATAATGATGAAGTGAGATTCTTGACTGTAGCTGAATTTAGAACAGCCTTCCCTTGTGAAAAAGAAGTACACTTTAGCATGCTTTTTTTAATGATGTTGCAATTTAGTACAATTAAAAATATTTTAACTTTAAATGTAATATCGAACAACATACAACAACAGTTAATATGATAACTTCATTAATTACTCGCCCTCATTTCGTTCCAAACCTGTAAGACTTTCATTCATCTTCATCATCAGATTTCTTTCCCTTCATTAGAACTCCTCGCAAATACCACTATGATGCTTCAAAATGTTAATAAAGAGATTGTAAAACTAATCCAAATGAATTGAGTGGTTAAGTCCAAATTTTCTGAAGAGACACGATCACTTTATATCAGTGGTTCTCAAACCTGTCCTAGGGACCCCTCACCACTGCATATTTTGCATGTCTCCCTCACCTAACAGACCTGATTCAGCTTATTAGTACAGACTGCAAGACTTGAATTTGGTGTGTCTAATGAGGGAGACACAAAATGTACAGTCGCGAGGGGTCCCAAGGACGGTTTGAGAACCACTTCTATATATGATGAACACGTTATATGATTTACATATGAGTATATGATTTACTTTAGGCTTTTATTCACATATAAACATTTATGAACTCACACAGCAATTGTGGTAAACAGAAGCTCAAGCATGTTCACTTGAAGTGTGAGAACCAATGAGGTTCATTCTCGTGTTACGCAGCAGGTTTGAGCTTCAGCAAGAACCAATGAGGTTCATTCTTATGATTTACGCAGCACGTTTGAGCTCCAGCAAGAACCAATGAGGTTCATTCTTGTGTTACGCAGCACGTTTGAGCTTCTACAAGAACCAATGAGGTTCAATCTCATGTTACGCAGCACGTTTGAGCTTCAACAAGAACCAATGAAGTTCATTCTCGCGTTAAGCAGCACGTTTGAGCTTCAGCAAGAACCAATGAGGTTTGTTTTCATTAAACAGGTTCGGTTGAGCTTCTGTTATTGCTGATCAATGTTTATATGTGAATAGCTGTCAATGGAGGGACAAAAAGATCTTAATTTGTTCTGAAGATTAACGAAAATCTTATGGGCTTTGGAACGACATGAGGGTGACTAAATAATGATGGATTTTGTTTTAATTTTGGGGTGCACTAACCCTTTAAATATGAGCTTGCCCTGTCAAAGAGTGTCTTGAAAAGTGTGTCAAAAAGTGTATGGTGCATTGCTCATTACTAGAGCAGACGTTATGGCATATTGAAACCGAAAACGAGACTGAAAATAGGAGCAGACCGACTAGCTTCTCTGAAAGGTGAACACATGTGAGGCCGGCTCTCAGACTTTGCCAAGGCCAGATGTGTCTTGAATCATGTGTGTTTTGTGGTCTGCTGCTTTGGAAACATTTGTCTCCATCTCGGATCTCTAAGCAAAGGATGGAAAATACTCCAGTCATGTTTTTGAGATTTTTTTAGATGCCACATAGTTACATTTTCTCACTTCATAGGTCTGCAGTCTGCCAAAACTATTTATTTGCTTGGTTTTATGACGGAAACATTGGCAAATATGTGTTTCGCTCTTATTATTAAGCAGAGACCTGGAACAGCAATAATAATTACATTTATTTTGTCCTTTCAGGACATCTGTGGACATCAGAGTTGTGACACATTGGGCGTAGCTGATGTTGGAACCATGTGTGACACCAAAAGGAGTTGTTCTGTTATTGAAGACAATGGCCTTCAGGCTGCTTACACGACTGTCCATGAGCTAGGTGTGGATGTCCTCTGGTAAACATTAAGTGATTGTTAAATTGATTGGACCTTCCATAATGCGATTTTGTTCTTCTTTCAGGCCATGTTTTGAGTATGCCGCACGATGACACTAAGAACTGTGAGCAGCTTTTTGGACATCTAGGCGAGCACCATGTCATGGCCCCTGTTTTCACTCAGTTCAGTAAGACCTCGCCTTGGTCTTCCTGCAGTGCTTTGTACGTCACAGAGTTTTTCGACAATGGCCATGGTATGTGCACAAAATTTGAAATGGGTCAATGACTTGACACTTCTTTTCTTTTTGTCATCTATTCATTTATTCAAATATACGTGAAAAATGCATTTCATATATACAGCGTATATCATGTTTATACAACATATACAGCGAATTATATCATATATATATACTTGAATATATTTATTGTTTTTAACATGGTTCTAATTTATTAATTTAGATATTTCTTGGGTTACAAAGTCAAAAATGTCAGTGATACAACTATCCTGATATTATAATGAAGAAAAAGAAAATGAAATTAATGAAAATAAGTAATTAATTTGCCATAATCTTTTATTACTATTTATTACATTTTTTTTAGTTATATAAAATTTATTTGCAAAATTAATATTTAACAAAATATAAAACAGGAAATTATAAAACGAACATGGGGTCATCTCTACCATAGCATTTCTTGTTTTATATTATATTAATGCAGACCCTCGTGATTGTGTGTCAGAGTATATAAATTTGTTATATTATTATTTGATTATTATACAGTAATATTGTTTATTATTTTTATTGTAAAGCAAGGTTAGTATTAAATATATATATATATATATATATATATATTTGTCTTAAAAGTACATTTAAAAACCTTTTGAAAACAATGATTAAGATGTCTACACTTACACCACATTTTTTAGAAAAAGCAGCATTTGTAAGAATTTATCACATGTGTTTTAAACTGGATTTTTCCTTTTCTTATGGATACTCTTATTTGTCATTGCCCTAGTTTAAAAAATGGAAGAGTTTGCAATAGTACAGGAAGAATATTCTTATGAATACCACTTATGCATTGATTATAGTAAAGCACTTTTACGTCACCTTTTGCTTGTAATTATGTAGATTCATAATTTTCAGATCCTTTCCGTTGAGTCAGAGAGAGTGCATTCCTGTCACTTCTCACCGACTCTTAAAAAGGGAATGTAACTAATATTTGCTTTCCACCGGTCCACGTCTCTTTAGTATTAGTCTCACACGTTTCCTTTTTAACTGCTGTATCAGTTGAAGTGGGCAGTGGCCCATGTTCCCCACGTGCATTTCAGCTCACTCGTGTTCCTCCTCGTGGCTCACTCCCCCAGATGTGCATTCCTGCAAGTCTTCCTAAATGTCAGCTCCAGGAGCCCAATGTTCCTACTGTTTCACAATCCTTTGATTTCATGATTTACTACCCTCTAACTCTTCCTCTGGATAATAACAGGAGACTGTTTACTGGACACCCCTGAGACGATAGTGGCCTTACCCACTGAGCTGCCAGGCATAACTTACAGCCTGGACCGACAGTGCCAACAGATATTTGGAGAGGAGTTTTCACATTGTCCCAACACTTCAGCCAGTGAGGTGTGCAGACAGCTCTGGTGCCAGCAAGAAGGGCAGTCTGTGTGCACAACCAGGAACGGGAGTCTTCCCTGGGCGGACGGCACAAACTGTGGCCCCAACAGGACCTGCCTGAACAGTGAATGCATGTCCTCAGATGAAGTCATGAAGCCAAAGGTATTTGAAGATACTCTTGAGTAACATACATAGATTTTTAGACTTTCATTTAATCATTTTATCAGTACTAGGAACACAAAGATATGCTGATTTTCTGCTCATTAAACATAATATCAATGTCAAAAACAGTTGTGATACTAAAGATTTTTGTGGAAACCTTTGGATTCTTTGATGAGTAGAATGCTTAGAAAAGAACAGCATTTATTTGCATCTTTTGACACTAATATTACTAATAAAAGTAATATTAATACATTTATTACTAATAAAAATGTTATATGAACTTTTAATTTAATGTCTCTTTGTTAAATTGTAGGATAAAAAGTATTGAAAATTAATTCTGACCCCAAACTTTTGAATGGCAGTTTACATTAAAAGCAATTCATACATACAACGACTTTTCTAAACCTCTTTTATAATGAGCTTATTTTGTCATTTCTGAATTAAAATTCATCCAGTCATGCTCATCCAACTGCCCTGCTATAAATTTTTTATGAATAAATCATTTGTGATAAAGAATACTTTTGCCATTAAAATATATTATGTCTAAAAAATGAATGCAAAAGTAAAACCTGTGAAAAGAACTAAATTAGTGAGTAGAATGACAAAAACATTTTTGAAAATCTTGATAAAGATGTATACACTCACATGTAATCAAGTTGAAATGAAATGTTTGATTTTTCTTTTCTTTATCATGGACACTATATGTCAGTGGTAATTGTTTTTGCTGTTTGGTTGGGTGACACTAGTGCGACTATAATCACACACAGTAGTCTGACATTCAATTGGTTGTGTGGTTCTCCTGGTTTAGCAAGTTGTGGATGGAGGCTGGGGCGAGTGGGGACCATGGCAACCATGTTCCAGATCATGCGGAGGCGGAGTGATGTTCTCCTACCGAGAGTGCATCCGGCCATCTCCTCAAAACGGTGGAAAATACTGTGTGGGCCAGAGAGTGAATTACCAGTCCTGCAACAAACAGGCCTGTGAGAATAACCGAGGTGGGTTCGTCTCTTCAGTGCCAGTCATTTCATGTTGTGTTATTATACTAGGTAACAATTCTTTACTATTGTAGGGAAAAGTTTCAGAGAGGAACAATGTGAGAAGTACAATAATCCCAATCACTTCGATGTGCATGGAAATGTAAAGCAGTGGATACCAAAATACGCTGGAGTGTCGCTACGAGATAGATGTAAACTCTTTTGCAGAGCACGAGGCAGCAGTGAATTCAGAGTATTTGCACCTAAAGTAAGTTGCACTTTTTTTTTAGTGTGAGCACACTTAAATTTACATTTAGGCCTTGTGTCCACCAAAGCGGTTTTAGCCCACTGAAAACACTTGACGCTCTACTGAAGACGCCTTGCTTTGGGTGGTTGAGAGTTTTGGCAGTGCAGCGTTTTTTCCGTTAAGACGTTTCGTTGCTATGATACAGAATATCTGTAGCACAGTTTACTTGTAACTGATTTCGCAGATAATTTGTTTAATACTAAAAATTTATTTAGCTGGTTGATTACGTTGTACAGAAAGAATGTTGTGACAGTTGGTCGGTGTGGTTTAATCCCACCCCTCCTCCACTGTGATTGGACGGGTGGGTAAAAGTGACAGTGATGAGCGCTGCGTTTTATCCAAAGTTGAACATTTTTCAACTCTCGGCGACCAGTAAAAAACGCTGGGCGTCCGGCGCTTCAGCGTGAAAAAAACGTTCAGCGCCTTGTTACGCTCATGGCGTTTAAAAAACACGGCGCTCCCATTAAAAACAATTGAAAACATACACCAGGCACGTGGAAAAATGCTTTGGTAGACACACGGCCTTAGACTTTTGGCAGATGCTCTTGGCAGATTGCATTTGATCAGTTCTTGCTTTCCCTGTGAAACAAACCCATGATCTTGGCATTGTTAGTGCTTTACTGTTTAAGCTACATACAGGAAGAAAATTTACTGTGAAAAATAATGATTTTACACACAAATACAAAACACCTTTATAGTAACATGACACTAAAATAAAGCAATAAGCGTTAATTTTAAAACGAATAAATGTTATTTCAGTAAAAAAAAATCAAAGCAGTTACATGTAAGTTTACGTTTTTTCACTGTAAATTATGAAATTCTTTTTCACTTCCAAAAACTCTTCATGTCATTTTTTCAGTTAAATACTGTATTAAAATTACATGAAATGTCCCATTAGATTAATTACAGTATTTCAACATGTAGATTAACTTCCCACTAACCAATTAACCGGTTTTACCGTTTAGAATTTTACTGTTAAAATCATCATAATTTTTTACATTGTCTCAATCTTAGGTAATTGATGGAACCCTATGCGGTCCAGATACCACATCCTTCTGTGTGCAAGGCCAATGTATCAAAGCTGGTTGTGACCTGGAAATCGATTCTAATAAGAAGCTCGACAAATGCGGGGTGTGCGGAGGGAACGGTCAGAGCTGCAGGATGATATCTGGCTCATTCAATAAAGTCGTGTAAGAATATCTCGCAGCTATATTTAATGGAAAAGTCGGTTCATTTTGGCTACAGTAATCTAAATCTCACTTGTTTTTTTGAAGCCATGGATATAGGGACGTTGTGACGATTCCAAGTGGAGCCACCAACATTAACATCAAACAGCAGAGCCATGGAAGTATACCACACGATGGATACTACTTGGCTGTACGAAGAGAAAATGGCGATTATGTCTTGAATGGCAACTTCTCGGTCTCCACAGTGGAGCAGTATATTCCAGTGCTTGGGGCTGTGCTGAAGTACAGTGGCTCGTCCACCACATTGGAGAGACTTCAGAGCTTCCGCCAGCTACAGGAACCAATCACAATACTGCTGCTCTCCACCGCTGGGGAATCCATCCCACCGAAGGTAAAGTACACCTTCTACATTCCTAAAACCACGTCTTTCAGCAAACCTAAAGACAAAAAGATGGCTGGCAAACTGATCCATCCCTTTGGGGTGCCGCAGTGGGTCTCGGGCGAGTGGTCTGAATGCTCCAAAACGTGTGGTTCAGGGTGGTCCAGGAGAAATGTGGAATGTAAAGACAATGCTGGCTTCTATTCAAACCACTGCAATAAAGATCTCAGACCTTCTGATATCAGGCCCTGCGCAGACCTGCCATGTCCCATGTGGCAAATAGGACCTTGGTCTTCATGCTCACAAACTTGTGGCCACGGCGAACGCCAGCGTAATATGCTCTGCATTGATTACACTGGGAAGATTTTGGAACCGGAGAATTGTGACACTGCCAAGATGCCTCGGCCAGTATCGGAAAAGTGTTTCTACCAAGAGTGTTGAGGACATCATGCAGGCTGAGGTGATAAGACGTTCCTGTGAACCAATATACAGATTATCATTTGACCGTGCTTCAGGTTGGAGCAGGAAATTTTCAGCTTTAGGTGGAGCTGTGTGGAGTGAACTTGTTAATGAATATTGCACGGACTGATCACTTGGGCTTTGGTTTTCCTAATATCCATGTATATCAATAACCACTATTGAAGTTTTATCCAATAGATATCTACCTCAGCAAGCAATGCTGTTTTCCTAACTTGTGCCTCCCAATTACATATAGATTAGGTTTCGAAATGTCACATTTAGTGATTCTGAAAAATAGAAAACACACCAATCAGCCAAGACTTTTACATTTATCTCAGGCTGACTTTTTAAAATAAGGACAGAAATCTTTTAGTTAAAACGTATTTGTAGCCACTATGAAGGTGCTATAATTCTTTATTGATTTACTTTGTGATTGGGTCAATAATGATTGACTTTACCTTTTTTCATGGCTTGCATTTATCAGTGGTTATTTTCACTTTCAGAGTTGAAGTGTAGCAAGAACACGTGATTAAAGCATGATCATATAAATATGTTAGTCTCTTGTAAAATGAAAACTGTATCGGAGTTACACAGTGGTTGAGTCTAATTTATTTCCTGGAACATTAATAAGTACAATTAAGTGTTTAAATTTTACTTTTGAAAATTCCTCAACAAACAACGTTTGTGTCCATTCAGAGGGTTATACAATGGTTATGTAATTTACCATTTACTATAGCTGTTCTTTGTATTAAACACTGTTTAATTTCAAAAGTGCACATAGCAAATTGTTGTGAATTGCTATGTGAATGAAAACTTGGAGGTTTGAAAACATCAGACCTTCCGGTGAGTTCATGCTTCATGAATAGATGTCTGCTGAGATTTTGAAAGAGCTGTGTAGTTGAACGTTATTGAGGAAAAAAAAAAACAGTACAGTATACAATTAAACTGACAAATAGGTAATGCTCCTTTAAAATGATTGTATATGAATGTTCAGTTGTGTACATTTCATATATTAGTCATATTAAAATGCAGCAAAACATATTATCCCTTCAGTGAAGGACTGTACTTTGTTACTTCTTCATTGTAAAGCTATTTATTTTTGTACATTTTTATTGTATAAAATAGATACAAATTATGCAATGTTTTCCAGATGCTGCTTTCTTTTTGTTTTGTAACTTATCAATGAAATGTCTGAAATAAAAACATTTCAAAATCATTTTGGATGAATGTATTTAATTAGAGCTAGACCAGAAGGGTAAGTGCAAAACATAAACCAACAGATATTTAAATGTAATATGAATGGATTAAAAAAAATGGCATGGACCAGCATAATGAGATAAGAAGGCTCTATGTCAAATACGATGTCAAATACGATAAGATTCCTGGCTAGCTGTAGTGTTGTTGACATCAGGAAGGTTGAGACAGAGGTGGTGTTCCTTCATCCAGTACAAAATGTCATAAAGTCATTGAGATATATGCTGAGTTGTTGGAATAGAATGACTGTGTATCATCTGCACAGCAGTAATAGGAAAAGTCAAAACATTCTCATCCCAAGACATCATCTAACTGACGCTTTTGACCATACGTCAAACTCCATCGTTTTAGGGCACCCTTTAAGTTAGATGAAGCTATCCATAGAGCATCATCTAACTGACGCATTACCTTTAGCATTCAGTAAGATGACGCGGTTAGGTTTAGGTCTGGGGTAGGGTTAGGGTTAGGGTTAGATAGCGTCATCTAACTGACGTTAAAGGGTGCCCTAAAACGTCGTATGTTGAGGTATGGTCAAAAGCTGAGTTCTTGGAATGAGAACGGGCTGGAAAAGTCATGAGACTTTATAACAGGGCACAAAGATGTTACAGAACGAGAAAAGGAGAGGGCTAAGTACCGAACCCTGGGGTTCCCCAGCGATTAGCTGCAGTGTTTCAGACACCTCTCAACTCCACAAAGCCTAAAAGAATAGTTGGTAACACTTTATTTTGATAGTCCACTTTAGACATTCAACTAACTATAAGTAACTTTTTGCCGCTACATGTCAACTAACTATCATTAGAGTATCAGTAGACTGTCTGCTTAATATCTGCTAACACTTTATTTTGTTGATCCCCCAACAGATATTCTACTGACTATAAGTAACTTAGCAACTACAAGTCAACTTGTTCTCCTAACCTGAACCCTAACACCTAACCCTAACCTGACAGTCTACTACAGCCTACTAATACTCTAATGACAGTTAGTTGACATGTAGTTGAAAAGTTACTTATAGTTAGTAGAATGTCTAAAGTGACTATCGAAATAAAGTGTAACCCAATAGTTCTCACAGACAGATCCTCAAGACAACTGTTTGTGGAAATATGGATATTTAAAGGTTAGAAACATTGGACCTAAACTCCTTACAGACCTTCAGTAATCAACAGGCTATGTTGTCTCAACTGTATCATTTAAATACAAATTAAAATCATGACTGCTAAAAGTGCCTCTAAAAACCCATCACTGCCAAAGAAACCTGATGGTCTACTAACACTAACATTGTGGCCCTGATGTACGGCTTGAAATTGCAAGTAACGTTATTTTGGCATGGCATTCAAATAGTAACAACAACTCCAAACTTCGGTCTCTGGCTTAATCAGATTGGAGTTTATTGGGCCAACATAGCCTCAGAGTTTTTTCCCTAATTTTGAAGAGGTATTCTTTCCTAAAAGAGGGCCCCTTTGAGAGAATGTTTGTTTGATGGAAAATCCTATTCCTCAGAGAAAGCACATGTCTGAGAGGCAGCTGCTCTCTATCTCTTAGAAAGGGTTTTTGCATGAGTTTGGCTCTGAATGAGATGCATCTGCTACAATTGTTACATATTTGCAGTCTAGCTCTTCCATTCCACTGATAAAATGAACAGAACTGCACTTTTAAAACGAAGTGTAATCTCTAATAGTTTCATATATTGTCAGACTTAACTAATAACATTGTGAAGCGCTGCAGTACTGTCTGTTTAATTTGTAATTATTCATAGTATATACGAGTGGTATATACACTAAAAGAATATATACTTTTAAATGGACTGATTGCTGAACACTTTAATACCAACATGATACTGTAGTTTAACAAAAGTGTTTTGTGAACTGTTAATTGCTGACCTACTTCACCAGACATCATGTTCTCATAAACTGCTGGTTAAGAACAATTAGTATGTTGTGCAAATCTGCCTTAAGGATGTGGAACTGAACTTTTAACAACTCCACCCAGAAACACAAAGCAGAAATATTTGCCCTAAACAAATTACAGCAACACACAATGTTCTAATATGCAGTTACTATTAAGCCAGCACTTTTTTATCCAAATTAAATTATCCAGATTACGTGTCCGACCACCAAAAAAAAAAAAAACTGGTTCAAGAACTGGTGCTGGTTCAAAGTTGGTTCAACTTGCGATCCTTCTCAGAACCTGAGCAGCGAACAACGTTGATACGTCACTGTACGCAACCATCTTAGCTTTCCCATTCCTGTCGTGTTGTTGGTCACAATAACCCCGCCCCCTGGCCCCCGACGTAAGCATGATGTGGTAAAAGAACGGTTCTAGTCCAGCAAAGAGTTGCTGGCGCTTTAGAACCAATTTTCCAGGCCGAGAACCGGTTCTTTGGCTGTCGAAACACAACGAACTGGTTCACGAGTAGGCACCGGCTCCGAATTGGCTCTCAAAATGCTTTGGTGGAAAAGGGGTATATGTAAAGCTCACATACTGTAGGCCTACTTCAGAAAATTAACCAGTTGAAATTTTCAGGAAACCCGGCCAAGACAAATCTATTGTGTCTCTGCTGAGCCACAATACATTTTCACCTGTTGTTAATCATGTAATTATCATGTTTTCATAATTTTTTTTCTGTTTAATTACAGCTGTTACAAGCTGTTCTAACGTTCTTTTGTGATTGTTGTTTGCTTGTTGTTTACCAAGAACTTTTCAATAAAAAATGAGTTACAATACTCTGCTTAAAGTATGTGCCTTGCTCAAGGGCTCAATGGTGACAGATTTGTGTTGTGAGCTCAGACAAATTCCTATTCTCACATCAACTAATTGCTATTTTCATGTATATCCTTGGGCATAAAGACTCCAAACACACCCTTGTTTGTTTCTAAACAAGGCCACACAGTGAGCTAAGGCATTGCAAAAAGCATACAAATATATAAATCTGTCCATTTTTAAGTGCTAGGCAAACAGCATAAGAAAAATACATTTTTGCAATCCAGAGAGGATTAGAAAAATATTTGCACTCCATTCATCTCAGTGGCACTTTCTGGAGTAGTGGTTTATTTAAAATCTGTCATATTTCCTCACGGCGGCCCATGAGCATTTGCCAGGAGCCAATCACCTGAGCTATAAATGCCAAGTGATTATGACTCCTGGGCTGCAGGAAAATGACATCATGACAATGCTGATTGCCTGACGGCAACCCTTCACTGGCGACTATGCTGAGCTGTGACGTCAAAGGCAGCAGACAGTGAAAAATGTCATTTGTTGTTTTTTATGAGCCCTACAAAAATCTATAATATATAATTATTTTGTATTTTTATAATAATTATATATCATTTAAATTATGCTTCCCAAACAATTATTACTGAATGGCTGTCAATGAAGATGCTCTTTTCAGGAAGTGGGCTAATGACAGCTCTGGGCGGTCTGAAATGAAATGAAATAAAAGAAAAGATGATTTTATAGTAGCTCAGATTGATGAATGAATCTGTCATTTTTTGGAGATATGTTCAGATTCAGCACAAGTCTGTTGTGTTAGAGACACTATATATATATATATATATATATATATATAAATCAGCATTGATTAAAAGTATAATGAGTTATGTAATCTGATTACTTTAAAAAAGCAAATAGTAATGGATTACTTTTAAATTTACAAAATATCTGAGTTATACCTTTTTAATTTTTGAATTACTTCCCATTTTTATTGACTGAGAGCTCTCCTGTCTCCATGATGAGAGAGATCGTGAGGAAGTGATTGTGCACTGTATAAACATGATATTGTAGTTCTGTAGTGAACATGCATTTAATTTACTCATCTCACTTCAAAACAAAAACAGATTCCGATATCATCAAAATTAATAAAAACAGTGAAATGCAAACTCAGAATATTACAAAAACCTGCAATAATTAAATGTTAAACATTTATGTTAAATAGTTATGTCTTTAATCTCACTTAATGAATAAACGTCTTTGCTGATGATCCAATTCAACCATAACAAACAAAAATATTAAGAAGTTTTATTTTTATCACTCAAGTAGTGTTGAACTTAAAGTCTCCCTGCATGTAGTCAGTAATTTTATACCTTAAACTCATCTTTGATCACCAATTTTTCATATTTTAAAAACAAATTCCAGTGAAATAAAATTGTTCATGGTCATATAATGCCATTTTTGTACAAATTAATATGAATGTTTAGGGTCTAAACGAAAACTTTGTAATACACTTTTATTAAAAATTCTCATTAGTATTTTAAGAAAACACAATAATTTTACCTGGTCAAAATCAGCTGTTTTCAGCAAGTCATTTCAGTGCATATCCCTTTAAATAATTAATCCCGCCCCTTTGTTCTAGACACAGCGCACGTGTGAAGTGTTGCGTTGACAACAGTTGAGGGATATTTTGGAGAGAGAATGGCAGCGGGAGTCTCTGAGAGTACACATCTGTGCAATCATAACAGATTGAACCGGAGTCGCACCGGAACAAGATGACAATTTGAGGGCAATTAAGGCTTTATTTACCGGGATAACATGGCTTCTCTTGAGACTCTACACTTCGCAGCATAGGCTATGATATGAAAGCCAGCCTTTACATTGACGTGATTGGTTACAAAGAAACACTATTGTGACATCAGAAACAAAAGAGAAAATACTCACATGAATTGAGTTGACGTGAATTTCCACATGGTTTGTCTTAAAGCTTATGAAAAACACCACATAAACATATAAACAACATCAATAGCTACTTGATTTTTACCACAGGGGGACTTCAACTTACTTCTCCTGCGTCCTTCACCAGAATGGCAGCACTGCTGAAAGGTTTGTATTTCTTTCTGTCGGAGGCTTATTCATTTCACTTTTGTTGTAAAAGTGCTTTTACTTTTGACATAAATATAACTTTTTAAAATTTTATTAAAAAACAAACAAACATACAAGCAAGTCCAGCTCAGGTGAGAAAAATGAACATGAAACTAACATAGGCCTAACACATTACTTTCCATAAAAAGTGACACAATAGTTACTTTTTTAGGGAGTAATGCATTACTAGTAACTTTCCCCTGAACATAATCATACAGACATCATCCTCCAGGATGTGCATCTTCATAAAATCATATAGAAGTGCACATGAAATAATAACTGTTTTTTTACCCTCTGAAAATTATGATGTTATGTGCAAGTATGATGTTAATTGTGGAAATATTGCATCATGGTTTCAGGAGGGAGACAGTGAAGATGGCTTACCATCAGCCAACGCTGGCAGGCAGACCAATGCTGATGAAAGGTAAGAGCGTTGAGTTTCCCATTATAACTCTGGTTAATGCAAGGAAAAGGGAGTATGGAAAATCAATTGGATCAGAGAACCTCTCCACATGCAAGTTTCAATATCAAACATTTCCTAGCTAATCAGTATATTTCAGGTAAAATATACAATACTATTTCTTATACTCAATCTGTGATCCAAAAAGTGGGTAAATTACAGAATCAATTGCTTATAAATAAATAAATAAATGCTTCCATATTTCAACCACCTATGGCAGTGTCCTGCATTAAAATGGACTGCATAATAATATGTATTTAACAGATTATAAATCAACCCTTGTTTATATTCTGTTTATACTTGTGCAGCTGATATGACTATAAAGATGTGCTGGCCTCAGTAAAGTTAACCACCGTCTTTGTGGCCAGATAAGTCTTTTTGTGGAAAAATTGTTTGGAATTACTTCTGCAAACCTTGTGGCAATAACTTTAACAGCTCAATACGTTTAATTAATTTTCAAGCTGTTGTTATCTGTAAGTGTGGCTTTCTCGTTGAGCAACAGCCTTTGCGATTTACAACACTGTCCATGTGTCTTAAAGAGACAGTTTCAATTTTGCATTAAATATTTTGCACAATTCCCATATTTTGACCCCCCCCCCCCCACACACACACACACACACTTAATTATTGTCTGTGTAATTTTTCACAGCTCTTAAACTGTACACATTTTCTGACATGCTATTCGAAATCTGCCAGGAGGAAAGATTTACTAAACACCTCAATAATAAGACTCAGCTTTGCAAAAATCCTATTAAATAATTCTTTTTGCACCGACTTCTGGAAAATCCTGATGATGATTTTGGCTTTACTTTCTCTTTTATGATCACACAATGAGCTCAGCTTCTTGCTGTGTTGATAAAGTCATTACTTTATTAAATTCCATTAATGAAAATTATTCTTCTAAAATCCTTGTACTCTTTCACATGCATCCTCATATTTTGTTTTTGGTTTGTTTATTTAATAGGTAACCTAACATGTGACCAGGCAAGATACTTATTAACTTTACAGTTTAAGTTTAAGTGTTTATTACTTACATTTTATTTAGTAAATTGCAGCGATTTGCATGGTGATTTCCTTTTTTTTTTCTCCAGAATTTGAACCTGAGACAAAAGGGAAAGGTCAGGCTTTGATCAAGTTTTAATTATTTGCTCGATTTATTTTCCCTTGAGTAGTTACAGATTTTATGTGTTTTTATTTTTATTACATTTTGACAACTGTGTTCTATTTAAACAACTGCCAAAAGGCTTAGTTCCACTCTTTATCCCCAAAACATTCAAATATCACGTTCCTTATTATGAAACATAAATCATTTATAACAAAGAAAACAATATCAAATTTAATCCATTTTTAACCTATTTTACAGTAGATAGCAATAATATGCTTCACTCTGTCCAATAAAATATGTGCTTGGTTCAATGTGAACAACACAGGAATGAAATAAAAGCATAAACCAGCAGGATCCCTTTTATTTAGCAGTTCTAATTGAAAACGTGTGTATTAAAACACTTTGTAGAGTAATTTGGTATTATATATTTTTTCTAATAAAGACATTCTCTCACACTTCATGCATTTTAAAACACTCCTAGTACTTTTATTGTTTTTCTATTGCCAAAATTCCATTAACTTTTTATTGTTTTATTTTGAGAACATGGAAGTGTTGCACGGTCATGATTTACGCAGTAAACTTTGTAATGAAAGATTCCTGCATATTCTGAAATATTCTAAAACCTGTACATCTGTACACAAATATATGATATGAGACAGTGCATGATATTTAGAAAGTTTGTAATGCTAAGGATGTTTTTAATCTCTAGTGCAAGTAAAGATTAAACCAAAAGTTTGCATTCCAAATGCTTGCCTATGACAGTTCAATATATATATATAATATATATATTTTTTAAAAATTTAAAAAATATTTAAAAATTAATTATTAATTCATTTTAGAAATTAAAAAAAAAAATTTTCAAGCATCACAATGTCCTGATTCTTCGTTTTTCATTTAAGTGTTGGCTGTGACTAATGAATTGTTGAGATATTGAATATTGGACATGTAGCTACTTATAAAGTTCATTTTCATCTTTCAAATTTAGAGTTGGATTAAAATCTGAAACAATGACTGTAAATGTGTGCATTTTCAAGCATATTTTATCCACTGCAGTAATGAGGAGTAATGGAAAACCCAACATGATACCAGTAAAAAACCCTGTGACACCTGTGACATTTTCCAGTAGCCATTTTTTTAATCCAACACGTGCTGCACATATGAGGGCTGAAGGCTGTGAGCAATTGCATATAATTCACTGGGATAAAGAGCAAGAAACACCATGCGCCTCACATCCATCATGCTGAAGTTATAACTTATCCCTAAAAACAGACTTGTGTTGGTTCGATCAAAACAAAAAGTGAAAAATAGACATATTTGATGCGAGTTGGGTTTAGAACAAAGGAGAAAAATGAATATGTTATAGACAGACATGTCCAGATTTTTGGATACAACGGCCATTTAATTAAGTGTTGTGCAAGTTGATAATTCAGGAAAGATATCAAATGTGAGAAAAATCAACAATATTTTTTATCACGTTTCACACAAGATAAAACAAATGGCTAGCTTATCAAATCGCATATGAAATAAATAACTTTTTTTTTTTATTGTTTTGCTTTTTCAACATTGCCTGCCCTCTTGCAGGCCTGTGTTTTGTGGGCTGAACTTCAGACAACTGAAGGCCACACTGAAATACACTTTCATTTGGCATTATTCATTTATTATAGCATGGATAATTTTATAAGCAACTGAGAAGAAAGTCATTTATCTGATCACTACTGTGCTGAAATCCGCCTGTTGTTTACCGTAACCATTTTATTTCTGTAGTTTCACTTAGGTGAGGAAGGACTGGAAAAAGCAGAAGTTAGTTTTTTTAATGCAAGCAATAAAACTTTACATTCTCTTAAAGCAGGATAAACTGTGCCACGAAATTATATAGATTCCTTTCTTTGGAAAAGAACATATTTTTCCCTTGAAAAATGTGGAGATATCACAAACTAAGCCTGATAAATGGTCATGGATAACAGTCAATATTCAGGTCATGCCCTCTGCAGGTCAAAAGTACGGTCTTAATCAAACCGAAAGACATGATACCGTTACTTAAATGAGGACTTTACTTTTAAAAAAAACTTTTGCTGATAATTTACTCACCCCCTTGTCATCCAAGATGTCTTTCTTTCTTCAGTCGAAAAGATATTGAGGGTTTTGGCGAAAACACTCCAGGATTTTCTCCATATAATTTCAATGGGACTTCAGGTCCAAATGAGAGTTTCAGTGCGGCTTCAAAGGGCTTTAAATGACACCACACGAAGAATAAGGGTCTTATCTAGCGAAACGATCAGTCATTTCAAAAATAAATAAAAAGGTTTAAGTTTTATAAGCACAAATGCTTGCCTTGATCTTTTCTGTGATGTGTGTTCGTGACTCGCCTGTTCAAACTCGTTCATCAAAATGAACAAATCTTTTTTCGAGTCATGACTCGAAGGGTCCTAGATAAGACCCTTATTCGTTGTCTGGTGTCGTTTAAAGCCCTTTGAAGCAGCACTGAAACTCTCATTTGGACCTTGAACCGTTTGGTTCCCAATGAAGTCCATTATATGGAGAAAATCCTGGAATGTTTTCATCAAAACTTCATTCAACTGAAGATAGACAGACGTTGACATCTTGGATGACATGGGGCTGAGTAAATTATCAGCAAAAGTTTATTTTAAAGTGAACTGCTCCTTTAAGGGCTGGAAATAAGTTAAATATGGAAAGCTAGTATTGGTGGAAAAGTTGAAAACCTGTTACACATCATGTGAAACAGAACTGGTGTAATTTAATTGATGATGTAAACATTTTTAGACATTTACAATATCTTTTTAAATCAAAATCACACACAGTGGCCCTTAATCGTAATTGAAGTCTGTCTCTCTCTCACACACACACACACACACACACACACACTCTTAAAGGGATAGTTGAATGAAAATTCTGTCATCATTTCCTCACCTTCAAGTTGTTTCAAGCCTGTATGAATTTCTAAAATATATATATTTTTTGTGTTCAGCACCTGAAAGGAATTCATACAGGTTTTGAAACAAACGTGTTTACGTGTTTCAGACAGACCGTACATTTATATGTCAGTGATTTTTCCTGTATGTTACATATTTATGCCAATGTATAAATCATTCATGCACTCATTTAACCGAAAACACTGATTCATTCAGGAACGAGACAGCATGTCTCAGAAGCTTAAAGTTGCTGCTTAATTTGTGTTGGAACGATTTTCATTGGCGAAACAAAATAGGCAAACACTAGCCTACTCTGTCTAAAATGTAAGTTACTCAATATTAATTTATTTTTTATTGAATTGTTGTACAAGCCCACTCGTGCTGTTTTTGTTTACCTGTGGCGTCGCGCCTATAGCCCACAGCGGTTTTTGATTTTCTCAACAACAGCACCCTTGTTCTTGTGATACTGATGAATTTACACCATAACAGCCTCTAGGCATGTGTAAACCACAACATTTACAGGTACCTATATAGCAACATTATAAAACAAGCAAGTTTCTCTCTTGATACAATGCATGGAAACATTTTTTTAGTTACTTTTCAAACTATTGAGTCATTGAAGTGAACTGTAACCACTTGATTGAAATAATAAGTGCAAATATAACTCGAGATATACAGTAGGCTAAGTAAGATCTAAATGCACCCTGAAGGCTTATTACTGCAAGGCTCTTTACACAGAGTGCTGGAAAATTCCTTTGAGTGAGCCAAGAGAATGTTCCTGTGATAAAACGAGCCACTGCTCAGGGTGACGGAGCAAATAAATGAATCTACAGAGATCAAACAAACTGTTTAATGAGATGCATAACATTTATCATTGCACATACACAGTGAGATAAGATTGTTATAGGAGTGTCTCCTTTTATAGATAA